GGTTTCAATCAGATAATATTGTCTGTAATTGATTTGTGATTCCGATTGATCAATGATAATAAAACATACAAATCCGACCTTTTATTTTACTGTTGTAAAAGCTCAACTTGCATCCTTTAGTAAGACAGAAAAAACGAGACATCAAAAAATACACTCTCTTTTAAATATTTAATATCAAATCAAATAATCCTTTGTTGAAATCGGAGACGAGATGAACGGTTTGAGAAGCTTTCGGTCAGTCATAGGAGCTATTTGCAATATTGTTCGATATTAATTGATTTAATTAAAAGATATTGAGGCATATGTGTTTTCAATATGATTCTATTTGAGTGCTTTGGAGCCCGTTTGACGACCATCTTATACGAAATCCTAATCTGCCTGTTAGCTCACGAATTGACTGACCTGATGAGTAAAATCTAAGCAGGTGTATAGATTCCGATTTGATGCTAAAATCATAAATCATCTAGAAAAGCCATTTGATCTGATGATCACCATAATGATTGAGGGTGTTACGTTTGACAGCCGGATGATAACTCGAATGTTAATTCAAAATTTCAAGGAAATGAAGCTGTTCGCTTATCAATCTCGCATGAAGGAGTTCTATAGGTTTAAATTTGAATATGTGATAAAATCACTGTTTTCATTCAGAACTCAATAAAATGATATCACTTGTAAGATAACAATTCAATATATTCGAGTACTAAGTTTTATAAAATAACAATATTTAATGCATGAGAAAGATTGAAGTGAAATGAAGGAGCTTGAAAACCTTTCACCTGGCTTCGAGATTCGAATTGCTCTCCGTAACCTACAAGAACATGAACCACCACCCTTCGAAACGGTATATCCATCTTGATCTTAACTTCGAAATTTGATATTGATTTTAAATAATAGTGATTTATATACTTACTACAAAATTGAATTTGAATAGTCTCACTTCTTATAATCTGATCCCCAAACGGTAATTTCAGAAACAGAATCAAATACGACGCTGATTTAATTCATAATCAAAACCAGATTCCGGAGCCCTTGTTTTTCACCCACATGAACACATTTTCGTTGTTGCTAAAATATATACTAAAACAATCAGTCTTTCTTCAACAAACAAACACACTCAAGCGGCTTTAGCTCACTTGGGAGAGCGCCAGACTGAAGTACACTTCGGTTCATTAATCTGGAGGCACTGTGTTCGATCCACAGAAGCCGCATTCTGCGAGTTGAGGTCAACCTCAATCAAACATTTTTTTGTTTTTTTGAAACCTTCCAATCTGGAATTGAGGTAGGTGTCGTCGTTTGTTCTTCTGTTTTAAATTTGATGGTTTTTCGGATTGTGTAACGTCGGGTATTTTGGTTTGAGATGCCGAAGTTACTCCACTTACAATTAATACGCTCGATTTCGTGAGTAGCTTCTACAACTTCTTCGAAAACATACTGGGTCGGTATATGCAGAAAAACTTCGCTATACCGGACTGGTATATACCGGAATCTTGGATATACCGGAATTTTTTATTGATTTTTTCGAAATTTATATGTAAATACCGGAATTTTGACTAAAACCGGTATAAATTTTAGTAGCAGATTTAGCTGAATAAGCTGAATTTTGAATGAGTAAGCTTGATTGGCTATTATTACATAATATTTTCTCGAAAATATCAGGGTTTGGAGCTGAAATCGGATATAAATTTTGATTAGAAAGCTTGAACCATCATTTTTTATACCGGAATCATGAATATATCGGATTTGATTGGTTGAAAATTTCAGTCCGGTATAACTAAGTTCTTCTGTATATATATACTTGTCGGCTATTTATAATATAATCAATCACTCTGGGTGATTAGTAATATCAACTCTAACCTATAGCAATTCTGATATAATGAAATTATTTTATAAATCAATAATAAATCAATTATATATTTAATTAAAAAAATGAAAAGATTAAAATCTTTATTAGAATAATCTTAATGTAATCATCAAAAATTATTATTTTAATAGTAATAATAAGGATATAAATATAAAATTAGATTTATTCGAATATATTTAACACTTCGAGATTAAAGAAATAATACTTCCGTTCATTTTGTTTCTAAAAATCAAATTTGATAGAAAAATATTATATTATAAATTATTAAGAATTATAATAACAACCCTCAATTAATTATATATTATTAGAAATTGAATACTTAAATAAGAGATTAATTAGAACTATAATCTGTATTAAGATTTAATATTATATATTGTATAATTGATTTATTATTGATTTATGGAATAATTTCATTATATTAGGATCGCTGTAGGTCAGGGTTGGTGCTACCGACCACCTTAGGGTGGTCGGCAGAATTTTTCTAATAGCCGGCAAGTACATATTGAATTTCGAATGTTCAGCTTATTGAAAAGCTCTAATATTTGATATAGTACTCTTTCTTATCTATATCTATGTACATGTGTATATTCAATCTACGGTATATCTCTCGTTTGGTGACGATCTATCTGCATGTAGACTTAGTTGAAGTTGAACGATAAATGTATAAACTCATTTATGATCATTTTTACATCTTTCTTTATGCAACGAGTATGCCGCGTCTTTTCTTGTTGATGAAAATACGATGTTTTTTGATGTCAGCTATCGCGAGGATTTATCAAGTTTACAATCGATGATTGTGTATAAATTGTACAGGGTATGATGAGGAAAATTGATGCTCCAATTGATGTATCACTGGTGTTTTTTTATCACTCCAATGTATACAACACGTAGAAAGGCAATGAAGGTGTTTCAAAAAGTGTAATTAAACTCATTTATACATATGAGAGACCGCTCATGTTGAAACCTCATGCATCGTTCCAGTATAATATCCTTCGACGAGTTACCCCATGAGCCAGCCATGAACACACTGCTCCAGACTATGCTTATCCGGTTGACTTGCTTAACCTTCCATTTCCAGACCCCTCTTTAGTATCACCTCTGTCATATTTCATAATTTGCATCCAATTCCTCAATACCATGGAATATCCAGCAATACACCTCATATCGTTCATAAGCAAGCAGCGAAACCATAACCTCAGGCTCATAAACCCAACCCAACCCAACCCCGCAATGCTTCCAGCCTTAACTCCGCCCAAAGCATCGTAAACGTACTCATGCATTCAAAAGACAAATGACAGACATCCAGACCACTAATCAAAATAGCTCAAGACTTCCATCACGAATCTTCCTCTCGAAGGTCACCTCTCCATAATCCGAGGACAATACATCCGTACATTGAGTACCAACCATCACAAAATGATGATTCACACTATTGTAACCCCTATCGATCATAACCTTATTCACCCATTTCAACCATGTCCTAGCATACCCGATGTCTACCCATTTTCTCTTTTGTCTTGCCGAGAGATGTTGAAACTTGATGTCATTGTCTCGGTCGATGATTGTTGAGTCTCGGATCTCATTTATGACGACGTAGATGTTTTTCAAGGAGGGAATCTTTTCTCGAATATGTTCGGATGCTTCGACCTGAGTGAAAGCATTTTGAGGGTTGTCGGTAAGAAACGTTCGACGCAATGCCAAATTTTGAACCTTTTTCATTTGAGGACAAGAGAGAAGAGCCTCGTAAAGAATTTTGGATGCCTCAATTTGTTTGGTCAAATACAAAATGTCGGCATGGAAGTTGACATATGTCCCGAACACCCAGGTATTTTGTGTTCGCGAAAGATACCATTCTCGGGACTCCTTGCAGACTTGTACGATATTTGAGAACGAGAGATGTGATGTGATTGAGTCGGTGATCTTTCCAGTATTGCGGTCTGTATTATTCAGATGATGGACCTTTGGGAGGAGATCTTTTGCGAATGCGTATTCCCATATATCTAGTCGAAGCTCGGCTGGTAGTTTCTTGAAGGAAGGAAAAGTGCGGTCGCCAAATTGTTTCTTCGGACTCGACTCGATTTGTGGATACCGAATATTACGATATTCCGAAAGGTTTCTGCAAGTCAAGCCTTTCAATAAAAATGATCTAAGCTCCCATAGATCCAATTCATGAAAAAGCTCTATTACACCATTGTAATCCTTATGGTTGTGATGTTTTCTCAATATGATATCAAACCATTGACTTGGCCACTTGGAAACCATGTCTAGTTTGTCTGCCATCTGAAGATCAAGGAGATTTTTGAGAGACTGTTTCCCAACATCCATTTCTCTTTTTGTTTGCGGGCCAGCAACCTTCATGATTGCTGATTTGAAAGATGTAGAGAAAAGTTGAGTGGCTGCTGGAATGCGTTGTATGTTTGAGAGATCATAAACCAAAGAGAGTACAGTGGGAGCAGTGAAAATAAATCTATACACTTTGTAAAGATATAATAAGTACCTTGATGATATTGAACCCAACAAGGTTGCTGAGCGTGAACGTCCAAAAAATATTGTGAATCATAATATAATGGACTTTGTTTACGGTTTGACCATTTAACCAGCAAGGTATTTTTCTTGGCTTTGCATGATTGCGCCATCGTAGCTTCCACAACCACAATTGTAACTGCAAAGTGTACACACCCAACATCCGTGGATATAGCAATTGTTTGTCAGGTGATTGATTGATAGGAAAAATTGACCAAAGAGCAACTCTGCTCTGTCCATTGAAGAAAGACCACATTCTTGTATGTTATTTACATACTGTCCTACCAAGCATTGGCAACATCGTATCAAAAATCTTCCTACATTTTGTCATGAGCACCTAACTATTCGCGATTTTATCACCGTATGTAATATCACCACGTATTTGATCAAAGAATCTGACATTGTCGATGTGCGCAAATGATACTTCGTATCATTGCATAGAACTTTGGTTATCAAATAATAATCGAATCCAACGGAAGACAAAGTCTGGTCACATGAGCGGCTGCATGAAAATCATGACAAAGTTGTTGTGGGGTCATGGGAAGATCACCAAGACAAAATCGTCAAGGTGATTTCGAAGATTCAACGTTGTTCTTGATGTGAATCGTAAGTTTGAAGTTTAAGATACTTCATCTTATGTGCATTTAGGACACAACCAAACATGAACGAGTGTATCAACTCCAGAGGTATTTTGACCAGCAAACGAGTTCAATGTTCTGGACCACCTGAGCCCCTTTTTGTTCGCTTCCACGTGACTAGCACCACACAATCAGACAATCTCGTATCCTTGCCGCTAATCTCCGCCATTGACGGCTCCTTGTCGGTACTTGGTGGAGACAAGCTTTTTTTCAAGCTTCAAGAAACAACGGACGATTTTTCTCCTCGAACTCTCTGGACTTGGACCATACTAAGCATCGGAATCCGAGACAATTGTGGCTTGGCTTCTATCATCGTTCGTTGTTGCTTTTTGGTAGTTTTATATCAAGATCAAAAGTCGCACGTCGGAAAGATTTGATACTCGAATCACGACGGTGACATATATCAGGAAACTTTGAATGTCACCAGGAGATGAGGCAGGGAATCAATTAAACGTGAACCAAACAAGGATGACGGAGTCACCGCGTAAGCCAATGCGTATCCATTATTCATTTTGTTATGAACCAGGCATTGCTCTTTTCAGCCCAGAGGTTTCCAAATCTCTCTGAGTTTTTAGCTTTTCTCCCAGGGAAAAACGCTGATAAATCTACAAGATTATTCTTAAAATAGTGTTTTGGAATCCACTGCAATGTGGCTGACGCGCAAGGTCTATTAAAAGGAAGAAACCAAAGAAGACTTACCGTGGGCCGAATGTCAAAAACAGAACAGTGGACCAGGAGTTTTGTTATTATGAAACTAGAGGTAAGCAAGTGTGGTAGGAAGTATGTCTCTCCTCACTTTTGAAGTTCCGGAGAGTATCCTTCGTTTCTTTTCAACTTGATGGTAAGATTGTACGCTTTTCTTCTTATACATCAGCGATCCGGCAGATTTTATCTTATACTCTCGTTTGGCCGAATCGTTTGCAAATCTGGAATTGATCTGATCCCCCCGTTTTGCTATTGCGATTGGCGAAGAAGTGTTACCTACGGTATCTATACTCTAGTTTGAATCACGGACGAGGAGCAAGATGAGGGTCAGTGGAGGAAAAGTCTTGGCATATACTGCTGCTATTTGCTCAACATGTAGTTTGGTTAGTGCGATTACCCTTGATTTGAGCTCTGATGGTATGTTGTCATTCTATGTTGTTACCTGTTGAGTGAAGAGCAACATACTGATTGAATAACTATGATCAGAAAGCATCAAAACCGCCGCATCCGATGTCGCCTACGATATGATGAAATACTATACAGGAAATAATACCGGAGATGTCGCTGGTAACTTACCTGACCCCTATTATTGGTGGGAGGCAGGAGCTATGTTTGGTATAATGGTCGACTATTGGTATTATACTGGGGATACTACCTACAACGCCGAAGTAAAAGAAGCTCTCCTACATCAAGCTGGCAGCGATTACGATTTCATGCCTACCAATCAGACAAAGACAGAAGGAAATGATGATCAAGGATTTTGGGGAATGGCTGCTATGACAGCTGCAGAGGCTAATTTTGACAATCCGGATAGTGGAACACCTGGCTGGTTAGCAATGGCGCAAGCAGTTTTCAACGATATGGCAGCTAGATGGGATGAATCAACTTGTGGAGGTGGTTTGAGATGGCAAATATTTACATTTAATTCCGGATACAACTATAAGAATAGTATTGCGAACGGGTGTTTCTTCAATTTAGGAGCTAGGTTGGCAAGGTATACTGGAAATTCATCATATGCCGATTGGGCCGAAAAGATCTTCACGTGGGAACAATCTGTTGGATTGATCGGTGATGGTTGGGAGGTATATGATGGTACATCCGATACAACAAACTGCAGCTCTCTCGATCATATACAATGGACATACAACGCTGGTATCTATCTTTTCGGAGCTGCCATGATGTATAATTACGTTCGTTTCCCCTTTTCTCTCTAACTACCTCCCGGACAAGTCATATGGTTCTACTAACACATGCCTCACAGACCAACGGATCATCCGTTTGGGAAAATCGAACAGCAGGACTTTTGAATGCTAGTAGTGTATTCTTTAAAGATAATGTTATGTATGAAGCAGCATGTGAAACTACCACAGTCGGTTGCGACACCGATGAACAATCATTCAAAGCTTATCTTTCTCGTTGGATGGCGGGAACCACCAAAATCGCTCCATTTACCGAACCAACAATCATGACTTACATTAACGCATCTGCTCAAGCGGCAGCAGAACAATGCGCTGGAGGAGCTAGCGGAAGAGCATGTGGAGAACATTGGACTGCAGGAAGTACTTACGATGGAAAATATGGAGTCGGAGAACAAATGAGCGCTTTGAGTATTATTCAAGCAACACTTATTGGGCAAGCAGCCGATCTCGTTACAAACAATACGGGCGGAACAAGTGCAGGAAATGCAGCAGGTGGAAGTGGAAGTAGTTCCGAGAGTGATGGGACAGTCGAAACACCAGTCACCAGTAGAGATAGAGCCGGAGCAGGAATCTTAACGGCGCTTATAATAACCGGTGTTATCGGAGGTGTGGGATTTATGGTTCTGGGTTGAGATGAGGAGGGCGAATGGGGCATTGAGAGGGAAAGATGGTTGTATGTTTATAGGGAATAAGTTGGGCGTTTGGTGTTCAAATCATGTGTGCACACACATTTTTGGCGTATATCATCAGCTTTGTACACTAGGGGGAGTATATTATCTTACCGTCTGGATTTCGATACCGGGGTATCCATTTATCAGCTTTTAGTATTTAAGGTTACCCGATACAATTTGTACATTTACATTTATCTAAATCAAACAGAATAAGTCAAGGACTATAGAATTAAAAACCTTTGAATGTCTAATTTTGTCAATTCAAAAATACCTGGTGTACCTACTGACTCGTCTCGTATCAATCATTTCATGCACCACATCACATTATATTGTCCACCCAATCACACAACTCTTCCCCACTATGGTACAGACTCAGAAAAATTCTTCATCCTCATATTCTTCCTCTCCACTTTAGCACATTTGATTATATATACGCAAACAAAACTGCATCTTCATCGAATCATGAATAATGATTTCACAGGACAGATGGCCGAGTGGTTATGGCGTGTGACTCAAGCTTCCTAGCTTAATTGGTGTGAAATCAATTAGCATTCTCATGGGCTTAGCCCGCGGGGGTTCGAATCCCCCTCTGTTCATATATTTTTGTTTTTCTTGGGGGTTGGGAGGGAGTAGAGAGAGGGGTTTTTGATGGTGGGAGGGAGGGTTGTAATGGGGAGGCGGGATGGAGGGAATAGATTTTTGTTTTGTAAATTTGAAGAATTTTTGATGTTGTTTATAGATGGGAATTTATTTTTAAATTCTTTTTCTTAATGAATCTTCTGAAATATAATAATTCAAGATAATTCCTTATATATTCATAGGTATCTATCTAGTAGTAACATTTACTTTACAAACGCATAGAGTAGAAGCTACCTATCTAGATATCCTCTTTCTTTCTTTCTTACTAATACAAAGACCCAGTATTTAAACATCGGATTCTACATGCGTGATGGATATAGAACGCAAATAGCATACTCGGAGATCCCCATGAATAATTCAATTGATGGCTTGATTTTCGAATCCTGATACTGGGTAGATAGATGATAGGTATTATTACTTACTTATTTACTTATAGATGGATATTTCCTAAATATGTAGGTATATAAAATGAATATCTACCTACCTACCTACTGGTAAATAGGTACTTGGTTCTATTTTATTTTATTTCATCACGTAATTATTCAATACAGAACTCTCTACTAGGTAGTTAAGCTACCTAGATAAAAGGTACCCGCATTCATGAATTCCACATCAGATCTCATCTCTGATCTCAAATCTCGCATCTCAAATCTCAAATCAAGAATGAGGTAATGGCACTTAGGTATCGAGGTCTATCTACATCCATCCATCTCTCGATATCGATGAAAAGAGGGGTAATTCACCCTAGGTAGCTAGTAGCTAGAAGCAGAGCTCAAACGATATACGATGCGGTGGAACAAAAGTGACGTCATTGTGACGGAAGGAAACGAAGCTCCTTCCTACCTTTCCAATAGCTTGCTTGCTTGCTTGTTTGTTTGGAGCTACCTACCTACCTACCTACGTTGATATTGGTATTTATATATTGATTCCTTACCTCTTATATCTATCTATCTACCTATCCACATTTATTCTTTTTGTACAAACAAACAGACAGACAAACAAACAAGCAAACAAACAAACAAACAAATAAATAAACAATCTCTCCCCCAAATCAAATCTACAATCCCAATCCACAACAACGACGAATCAAACACACCCCATCTATCCATCAAAATGCAATCCATAACCCGCACCCTCACCCGCCAATCCCCTCTCTTCACCCCCCAGCTCCGCATCCCAGCCACCCGTCCCTTCTCCTCCACCCTCATCTCTCGCAAATCCGCTACCGAAGCCGTCAAAGAAACGGTTCACAAAGTCGATAAAGCCGTCGCGAGCAAGATCGTAGACGGTATTGAAGTTGGTCGTATGTCTTCTCTCTCCTTGCCATTCCCCTTCCAACCCCATTCCTTCTTTCCCAAACCCCAAACTAACCCCCTCCCCCCAAACCCAGAAACCGCAACCCAAAAAGCCAAAGCCGCCGCCGGCCTCTCCGCCTCGGAAGCCAAAACCGCCGCTTCCAACGCCGCCTCTGAAGCCCAAGGCGCCAGCTCCTCCGCCACCGGTTCTGCCTCTGGAACCGCGTCGGAAGCTTCTGGAAAAGCGTCGGAGTTGGCGGGTCAGGCGAAAGGAAAGGCAGCGGAGTTGAAGGGCGCCGCGAAGGGAAAGGCGGCTGAGTTGAAGGGAGAGGTGAAAGGAAAGTTGTAGAGGATGAGGATGAAGATGAAGATGAAGATGAGATTTGTATTATAAATAAGTTGCGGATGCATTTGGTGGAAAGGAAAATGGTTTGACAGGACACGAAAGGACGAAACACTGCAGAAACGGTTATGATAATATGGGAGTCTGTCAATAATTGATGAATGCCACGAAATTCAATGAGAGAAAGAAATTTATAATTTGCTTCACACAAACATACACAAAACCATCTACTTACTTCGATTGTGAACATATGAGATCTAAAACCCGATGGTTCTGGAAATATTATCATTAAGTAATCCGTATCTATATACAGTACATACATACAAAATCTATCACCTCCAACCTCTCCAACGCTCCTTTTTGTTCGTCTCGTCTCATCTCATCTCATTTGGCCTATAGAAAACCAATCATATATACAAAAGAGCCCGTCAATCACTCATCCACATCCACATGCATTCCACATAATCTCTAATGCCCACCCCTTCTAGCCATATACCCATTCCCTCTCCTCAAATTTCCATTCCCCTTGGCCAAACTGGCCACACCACCATTTAACCACCCAGCACTGCCTCTTCTCCTATCCTTTCCCTCATCAGAATTAGTCGTTAATGCATACCACATATCCATAATACCCGCTCGACGAGCAGGTAACATGCTGTACTGAAGCGAATAAAGATTTTTGCGATGGATGGGCGGAACGAATTTGCCGGTTGCGAGACAGAGCAGGACACGAGGTGAAGCGTAATGTTTACGGATACGATGGCCGAGTTGGAAATATTGGTGGAACATGGCGCGGAAAGTGAGGGGGACTGACTGTACATTTCTGTTAGTAACGTGAAAATAAATGAGTAGGAAGAGAACCAACATACCTTGAGATATATATAGGATGTTGGTGGAGGAGATGGAGTGTTGGGTATTTGGCTCGCTAGTTGTTGGGTATCTCGAAGTTCAAATCGTATGCCACCTTTGTATGTTAGTGTGATGTAGTCTGGAAATTTTATGTGAGAACGTACCTGGCAATCGTTGCGAATCTTTAAGTCGTAACATCAATGCAAATAGGGGGAAATGATTCAAGCATGCAAGTAACGCATCTAAAATAGCTTTTAATGAGATGATAGCCATTCGTGCACATGCAAATGCCAAGTAGAATACAACTACTGTAGGCAAGAGAAAGAAGAGTAGTGTGAATAAAATCGTGCCTAGCAATAGTTGATCGAGATCATAATCGCAAGAATCGATACGTTTTCGAAGAACGTTATGCTTCTTGCCCCGAAACAGTTGAAATAAAGACAGGAGGATCGTATACTGCCAATTGAATATACGTGCAGAAGCCATGTAAAACGAGTAGATGTGAAGTGTCAGGATTGTGAGTAGATCAGAGAAAAGGGCGATTGGCATGCTGGCTCCAGCAAAACTGGAAAACCCAACAACCCATATAACATGAGGCAATACTGGATGCAAAGCTTCAATACAGCCTGTGGAAGTTAGTTGATGCATAATTTGTTGGGGAGGACGATAAACATACTTGACCAATGTTCGATGACCCATAAGAACAAATCACCAAGGAAAGCAGCCAGTTCAGTATTGAGTTTCAAGCCAGCTGGCCAATCCATCAGCCAATTTATCGTCCTCTGCAGAGCAGCTATAGAATAAGTGCTTAGGATATCACTGATAGTCTCTGCGACCCAGGCGGAATTGTCAATAATATAAGACCCCAGTGCAATTCCAATGATCACATCATTAGCAACTAGCCAAAGGCTATTGTAAAACCTTATGTAGTCCGGATGACTTGTTGTCACACTACCCCAGTCTCTTTTACTTCTTCGAAGTGTGACATATTGCATAGGCCAATAGCAGAATTGTTGTAAGCGTATCTCCACTTGCTGTGCAGTTGCGGAGATATCTTTCAAGGCTGCATAATCTGGCTTAGCTCTCCACTCTAGAATCAACAGTAAAGCCTCAGCAGCAAATCTATGACAAACGAGACCAACAATAAATCCACGTCTGATGATAGGATATATGTAGAGAGTGATGAGCTGCCATATTGTCAAAAGAACGAAATCACGCATCGTGGTTGCTGACTCCACTACCCTTTCCGACACGCTCAGACTTCTCCTTGACCGAGCTCCAACTAGCGAAATGTTTTTCTGCAATAATTGATGGACCTCCCAAGCACAATTGATTTGATTGACTATTCTTGGCAAGGCGAGTTCTTTTTGTGATGGCGGATGTTTAACGACAGAATGGTACTTCAACTTTTCGACTAGTTCCTGAGTCCTTTTCCTCTGTCTTATTTCTTCTCGCTCTTCCTCCGCATCAACACTGCCTGGTGCATGAAATGTCATTTCAGCCTTATCATCCAATGCCAATGATATTGGCTTTAGAGATATGTATTGCATCCTATTAGGCTGAGGTCGATCAAACACGACTATTTGATTCGTTGATGCTCGAGCACAAGATATCTGAGGTAATTTGTATGCCGACCCTGTAATTGCGCGAATTTGAAGAGTATCGACATCTGCTTTTGGTGAATTTGTCACGCCCAATACCTGTAGTGATGACTGTCCACATAACTCATATATTCGCTCGATGGGATGACTGGCATTTCGGAACAGAGTTCCGACCTTCAATGCATTCTCTACATTGCGCGCCTGCAATTACGTCAGTCGGTTCCAATTTCATATAGCCGTATCGCTGCTCACGTCAACATCCTCCAATATCGCAACCACAAAAATATCAAGGCCAGAATTCCTCCAGCCAACTATTACTCCAGGTGAATCGCTCCTTGGGATATCCCTCGGCCAGAAGATCCTCATCAATCCATCATGATCGGGCATGACAAATGCTCAATTATCATAAACTCTCTTCCTTCAAAAAGAACCCCGACGTCGCAATTGTTCTCGTGCAGATATGCCGACGCTGCCAGATCGCGGATGCTATTGTGTTGTTAGCTAGGCTTATGATTGTAGATGTAATGCTTCTTTACTAGTGTCGTCTCCCTCGACGCGAGCCTTTCTACTGGTATAATGAATAGAAAGAAGAAGAGGGAAAGAATCGCGAATCCTTTCAAAGTTCGTGCCTATGCGCCAAATGATATTAGTGACATGTATCGAGTTGATTCAGGGGAAATCATAGCTAACCACTACTCCGTGATCCCATGCGAATATGGCAAGCTCATAAAGTCTAGTAACCAGATCCCACCTCGCAGTGATGTAGCCGGCTACGAAAATCGCAAGTGTGAGGATTGAGAAGGGGTGCATGAATTGTTTCCTATTGCTGGCGCATCACTGTAATATTTTGCTGTAGGAAATTCGAGACGGGTTTACTGGCTTCTGCAGCTTACGGTACTCGGCGGAGAAGTTGATGGTTGGAGGAGTGAGGGTAGAGGGGGAGAGATAAGAGAGAATGGATAATATGGGTAGTGCCTAGGAAGGATGAGAATATATAAAGGTGTTTTCACAAGTATGAGGTTCTCGAATCCCACATGTTTGTTTAAAGTCAGGGTCCAGATTGTGGGTGGGATTCTTTTTTCTGGATCTCCCTTCATATAAACCAATCCCGATACAGGAATTCAAACTTGTCTGGAGCAATCACCAGAGAAAGGCTGAAAGCAATTTGTTCTTTTGCAGGGGTAGATGAAATTAAGCTTTGTGGGCTAAGAATTGTAATCACGTGCTCGTGTGAAGTTTGGAAGTTGGTGAGCATTTGATGGGAAAGGGATGAAGATGGAGAGGAGGGGAGGGGAGATGGAGATGAAGATGTTTAAGCTACCTATATAATTTGATACACCATACATATGATTGATGCTGTACTATATTGATGAAATGAATAGATGTAGAGAATGTGCACTTTCAATACCTAAGTTATGTTCCTTGAACGGAATCTCCATCTAAACTTTGGTGGCTATCAAGGCCTCCGTGCTATGTCGTTGTATTGCTTATGAGTATAGAATGTTACTGTTTCTTGAATATCATACAAAGTTGAGATAGTTTTGAGTCCCCAATAACAGTAGAATCTTCACCTACAAGACCATCCTAACGCCTTTCCCATGCATACCTAAGTAGTAGTATTGTTTGTACAGTCTGATATTGTGCATGCATTTCATTCTGCTCAACAATTAGCTATCATACCCTCTCCCCGGGAAAAGAATGCGATTGACTCACAAGGCCGTCGCAGATTCACGGCATCATGTTCCTTGTGATCCTCTCGTGCTTCTTCCAGCATTTTGTCAATGCCACGCTCTTTCAAAGCACCCTGTATCAGTTAGATTGGGAATCGTTCAGAACTACTGAAGGATTTTCCAAACTTACTGTTAAGCATTTCCGGTAATCTTTAAATAAAGATTCACACTCGTCAGTAGTACCTTTACCTCGAAGGTATTCTAATGATCTTGTTAGTTCATGTCGATACTTCCAATAGCGAACCTTACTTACTTTCGCTGTACCATTTCAAGAAGCACGAATCATATCGTCTTTGACAGCGTTCAGCATATTAAAAACTGATTCAGAAACGAAGAGAATATAGTAGACATTACATACTCCTTGACTTCATTGCATTCAGGTGCAAGTGAAGCCGACATTATGAGAAGATTCTGGTGTAAGATTGTATGATAGGAAGTTATATTTTTGAATTCGGTTGTGCCTTGTTACTACCAGACTCGTGTGGCGAGAGGTGAAATCCTTTGTCATGTGAAGTCGTGAAGTCGTGAGGAGCAAGTGAAAGAATTTCGAATTCCGGCTGAACTGAAATGAAACTGATGAAAACGCGGAGGACCCAACCTGCAACAAGGTTTATTAGAAACATACGCTAGTGTAGGTAGTTCCACCCACCGTTTGAAATAATGACAAGGGTATGAAAGTTGAACTTTTGAATATTTTTTGACCAAATCAAATCGCAGAATTTATCTCAATCTTTTTCGACGCAACAACAATTTAATTTTGTCAATTATGGCAGAAGATACACAGGATTTCAAGTCCTTACAAGATGAAGTTCAAGCTGCTCTCGTAACAACGGTCAAAACTGCCGGTTATATAGCATCAGAAGATCTCGGCTTTCATCGATCATTGAATCCTGAAGTGGGAAGTGCTCTCGACGAACAGAATGCGCGCTTGCTCGCACTTGCCAATCAGTTGCTCAAGTCTGCAGCTTCCGTCTCAGGTATCCAGGTGCCAATTTTAGAAGATGTCGACGACGTTGATAACAATTGGCGCGGTGTTGTGGATGTTGTGGATTCCTTACTCGAAAAAACGGATACTTGCCTCGACGAATATACTGGAATTATCAAAAGGAAACAAGTGGAAGAGGTGATTGTTGAATCGCATAAGCTATCGAATTGCATACTGATATCTGCCAGACTTCTGCGACAATGAAATCCCAGAAACGACCTCTCGACAATTCGCTCCGTACACAAAACCTTGTGAAGCCACAACTCGCATTCGAGGTCAAACCTGACAATGAGGACACTTCGCCATGGCTGCCTCTTCTTAAGACCAAACCGCATGCGAAAGTGCCATTAGAGGACAGTCTTGGAATATTTACAAACGAATACGATCAAAAACAGTATGACTACTTTAATTTTATTCCCCTCGCATTACTCCCGGATTCCCCGCGCGAAGGAAACAAGATGGAAGACTTAAGCAAGTCTGCTAGGGCCAGTCGCTCCAAAGCAAAACGGGAAAAACTAAGAAGGCTTCAGCAAATGGGTTCCACTATAAGATTTACTAACAAGAAATTCAGGTACAAACATCCTTATGAAACGGAAATCTTACAATTACAATACCCGAGCGCTATGTACGAGAAGGCGGAGCCAATAAAACATCTACCCGTTGAAAGCACGTCTGCGAAATTTGTTGATACCTACGAAGGTGTTTTGGAGATGTTGGAAGAGCTCAAAGGCGCCAAAGAAATCGCGGTCGACTTGGAACATCATGATACTCGTTCATATGTTGGTCTCGTATCTTTAATGCAAATCAGTACTCGCGAAAAGGATTGGATTGTCGATACTCTCAAGCCATGGAGACAACAGCTGCAAGTACTGAATGAAGTTTTCGCTGATCCAAATATAATCAAGGTATGTTGTGTACTTCTTAAGATTTATCAATATTAGCTAACGAGTTAGGTTTTCCATGGTGCTTATATGGATATTGTATGGCTTCAACGTGATCTTGGCCTATATGTAGTCGGCTTGTTCGATACACATTATGCATGCAGAAGGTTAGGATTTGCTGGGGGAAGCTTAGCCTTCTTATTAAAGAAGTACATTGATTTCGACGCCGACAAGAAATACCAACTAGCAGATTGGCGAATTAGGTAAGCTCATGTTATGAATATTTTTTATCATTAAACTAACTATTCTCTAGGCCACTTCCCGAAGAGATGTTCTTCTACGCTAGAGCTGACACACATTTCCTTCTTTACATTTTTGACAATCTAAGAAACGAATTACTTGACGCACCTGATGTTGAAACGCCTGATGCAGAGGAATCCGTAGCAACTTCGATGAATGTAGTCTTACAAAAGTCTAAAGAGACTTCGTTACTTCGATATGAGCGACAGCTATACAACGCGGAATCTGGGAAAGGGCCCGGAGGATGGTTTTCACTAATCTACAAAACGCCTGCTCTGTTGAGTAGTGAGCAATTCTCAGTATTCAAAGCTGTACACGCCTGGAGAGATCAAATAGCAAGAAAGGATGATGACAGCATTAATTTCGTCATGTCGAATTCAGTTGTTGTCAATCTAGCCAAATTCATGCCCATGGATATGATAGCCTTACTCAGTATCATTCGACCAATATCTCACAGCGTGAAATCGCGTACTGGGGAACTCTTGGAAATTATCAAGGCGGCAAAGGAAAACGGAAAAGATGGTCCAAAATCGATAGACGTCCTCAGAAAATCACCGGATTCTGCCGCAACCCCAAAATCCAACACCGGAGCGAAATCTACATCGCAAAGGCTATCCAAACTTGAAGTTACACCGGTAGACAAAACCGAACTTACAACAGAGACATCCTCTTTCTGGGGAGGTGCGTTTGGAAGCAGCATATGGGAGCCCTCAACCACAACTCCGGATCAAGATAGTATGAGACTCGCAATACCCTTACCCCAATTATCAGACGAAGTTTTCGCCGAAACGAGTACACCTCTTACCGATCGATCCCGTATGGTCATGCCCGAAGCACAAACTCCTGTCGCAACACCCACACCTAGTAAAGTAAAAGACGAACCATTTGTTCTAAAGCGAGGCTCGAAGAGAAAGAGCGAAACCATCACAGATCCAGATGAAGACCAGAAGGCTACCGGTGATTACGATATTTCTCTTGACTACACCTCCTCCGCCGAAGCTGAAAGACGTCGGGCTAAATTTGCAAGAATGGAGGAGAAACGATTAAGAAAACAACAGAAGAAAGAAGCAGCCCAGGAACTTAAGGCAGCGGCGGCACAAGAACGTAAAGCAGAAGAAGAAGAATCCGAAAATGAAGAAGTAGAAGAGGACGTAGAGAAATCAGAAGCAGAACAAGCGGATGAAGAACAAGGACAAGAAGAAGAAGAAGAAGAAGATTTCGATTACAGCAAAGCGGAGTCGGTACTGAATTCCAAAAAGGATAAGAAAGACAAAGGTGGAAAGGGTGGAAAGGGAAAGAAAGAAAAGAAACCTTTTGATCCATATCAGAAGAGTAGTAATGCGGAGAAGGGAATGAGAAGAGTGCAAAATGGGGAGAGAGGAGGACGAAGCGCAACTTTTAAGAAGTGAGGGGGTGTTTTGAAGGGTTTAGAGATCATGAATACAGGGATGATGAACATGGAGTGGAGAATTTGACAACTGAAGTTTGAGAATTAAATCGAGCGGACATGTGGCATGTGAGCTGAGCATGAATGGATAGGTGGATATAAAGAAAGAAGTAAATGATGAAGAGGTGAACATGAGAGGGAATAGACGAGGTGAGGTGAGGATCTTGGTGCATATGATGTATATGATAATACCTAGCTACCTAGCTACCTCTACTACTATAATCTAATATAGTGATTTGCGGTACCTATAAAATTCTTTGAATATGAATTGATGTCGTAGGATGTGGTATGGTGGGATGGGATGGGATAGGATGGGATAGGATGGGATAGGATGGGATAGGATGGGATAGGATGGGATAGGATGGGATAGGATGGGATAGGATGGGATAGGATGGGATGGGATAGGAGTGTAGAGTTATGCTATGTGAAGTAAAGTGAAATGAAGTGAAGTGTGATGAACAAGATACCGGCAATCATCGATTTCTCGCTACGAAACGAGAGGAGGAGAAGGGAGAGGAGGGAAAAGGGGTCCGATTTGAATCGATGGAGATGGAGATGGAGATGGAGATGGAGATGGAGATGGAGATGGAGATGGAGATGGAGATGGAGATGGAGATGGAGATGGAGATGGAGATGGAGATGGAGATGGAGATGGAGATGGAGATGGAGATGGAGATGGAGATGGAGATGGAGATGGAGATGGAGATGGAGATGGAGATGGAGATGGAGATGGAGATGGAGATGGAGATGGAGATGGAGATGGAGATGGAAGATATACGTGTCCATTATTCTTTACATTTCCCTTTACAAATTGACATTCACATTGAAATTATAGAAATTGGTATGTACTTGAAGTCTTGCATGTATGCACATAATCATTCAGTCATTCATTCATTCATGAATCAATCAATCAATCAATTTCATTCATCATCAAATATCGTATCTTCTTACGCAGCATACCTATTACAAGAAGAAGCCTGCCTAACCACCTAAAAATCTTTCCAGAACCCCCACGCCTCCCCTCCAGTGTCCCCAACCCGTCCGCTATCAACCCAGCCTAGCCTAGCCCAGCCCAAATCGTAGGCACCCATACATAGAAAGAAAAAGAAAAAAGAAAAAAAGGGTAACACGTCAACGCCCGCCAATATTGAACGATGCAGACTTTGGAAAATTCGATGCACTCTGTCCTACACACATCCCACAATTCTCCATAGCAATTTTTGGTAGAAAGAAATCCTATTTCTTTTCCTCGAAGTAGAACTTGCCAAGACCAGCTTGATCGGGACTCCCAAGCGGTGGTCTACTCGCCGCAGAAGGGCTATCCTCAATTCTCTCTTTCAGAATCTTTTCTGCAGCTTCGGCACCCACTCCCGTACCCAATCCCGAACCGGTCGAATTGCGATTCCCGGCAATTCCTACCCCTTGACCCCGCGCAGCCGTGTCCACATATCCGCTCGTATTATCATCTGTGATTCCATCCAACATTCTCGCATCGCGTTTTTGCTGCTCGGTGGTTGTAGATGTCGATGCGCTGACGGGGGTTCCGGGATTGCTGCTTGATACTTCTTTTGCTAGACCGCTTTTTCCTACGGTGAGGGGACTCGCGAGGAGATTACTCCGGCTGTATATTGGTCCGCTGACGGTACTGCCGGCTCCTTCGCCAAATCCGACTAAACTCGTATCGTCGCTCATTCCATCCTCGTTGCCTTCTTCATCCATAGCAGATGCGGAAAATCGATCCCGATCATCGATTTCCCGGAAGTTGTTATCCATGCTCATTTCATCATCATCGGCTTCCGTTTGTCCTTTCGCGCTATTAGATGCCCATGTAGTTGTTCGGCCGGTGAGAGATCCAGTTGCTGATGCAGAACCGACGGTAGACATGCGGGTTGTGTAGACGGGATTTCCGGCTTGATCGAAATAGCCTGGGATCTGACCGGTTGCGGGGACAGAGGTATTACCGCTGGGGTTCTGAGGGGTCGCGGTAGTGACTCGTTCAAGTCCTGCCAGACGGGAAATACGATCTGCGCGCTGTGCTTCGAGAGTGTTGCTAGAGAGGGTGTGTTGGTGGTGAGAACTTGCGGTAGGGTGGGCGGAGCCGCGATGTCCATCTTTGATGGCGGTTGTGGAGAGAGCAGAGAGGGATGTGGTAGTTGAGTTGGGAGTTCCTCTGGAGAGAATTAGATCAGTGGTTTGTTAGAGTCTGGTGGTGGAGGGGGCAGCTACGTACGGTGCATCGACTGGAGTATCAACATTTGATGGAGGTTCGGGCATACCGATTAACGTAGGTGTAGATGACATTTTGATGATGGAATCTGTGTTATGAGATGATTTTTAGTTGTTTATCGTATGTTCAGGTTGAGTAAGAACGTAGGTGTGCTTGGTGGAATTGGAAGCTTCTTGGCTCGTTTGGTTTGTTTGCTCTCAAGGTGGGTTGATTAGCTCGATAGTCTCTGGAGCTGTAAGGCTGGACTAAAGATTTACGCCTAGTAATAAAATAGGCTCTTGAATTCCGTTGGGTGAAAGAATCTTGATTTGATTTCTTTTTTTATGTGTTTTGTATCGTAGACAAGATAGTAATGTAGGATTCTTTCAGAATAGTGTGATATCAATCGTATTGCTTGCTAGCTATGAAAATCCTTTCTACTCCAATGTTCTTAATAGAAAGATCGAAATTTAATTATCTACCTGGGTATTTAATATCGTAGATGAAGGAGAAAAGCCGCTTAAGCTTCAAAAGCTGCAGGATCATCTAATGACGCAGTTCCCACGACGCTAGTGCGTATCGGTCGAACCCCACATTGCAGAATCACACTATTCCTGTTTCGTTGCTAGTGAGAAGTTAATTTCCCCTGTCTTTCACTTCCGACAATGTGATCTCTCCACTCATACTCATTTCAACATACCAACAGGCCATCTTACAAGGCAAGATGGTGAAGTATGATTTGAGAAGAAAACCAACTTACTTCCAGGATTCTGATTCGCCGAGTTCGACCCACGCTTCACGTGCTACTTGCCAACATTTTCGAGATACAATCACGAGTTGGGAAGCATGGCGGTCAGCAAATACCTAGGTACGCTGCTCACCTCGTGGCTTGAGTTCAAGTAGAACTTTATGACATTTTTCTGGACGATTGACACTAAAGTTGCTATTCGAGTGAAAATTGTCGACCGCAGATTGAATGAACATCACTACTTCAAAGCTTTGTCTTCCAAGTTGGCGTTGACTTGTGTCTCCTTTCGTCGTACATTGGAACGAGAAAATTTCATCCGGTTCATGCCGAGGTCAGCGATTGCAAAATTCAAAGAGCGCCAGCTTGTTCTATTGGATCTCCTGAAATTTGGGATATTGATTTGCTTTACCATTTTCACAAGAGTACACTTAACATCATGTTAGAGGCCTACCTGTCTTAACCACTTGAGTTGTACAGAGAATGGTACATGAATTTTTTATCAATGACTCAGGGTGATTGCTGTTCTCACAAGCGTCTGAGGGCAGATTGTACACTTACTATGGTAGAACTCATCAGACACATTCATGATCCCTTCATGACCACAAAGTTGACTGGCCCCTTTCTACATAGCTTTGATACAATTGCGCAAGTGCGTCTCATTCAAATGAAACTTCACGATTGTGCGTAGATAAATTTTCACTTTTATCTTAACGTCACTTTGCATAGAAGTTTGATTGAAGATGTCACCAAATTGGCAACAAATTTTCCATATTGAGTTATTGAATCGTTCTAAAGGTCTCGCAGTCCCTCTCTTGTAACCATACAACGCTGCCAAGCCGACTTTGAACCTTCAAGTGTTGTGTCAATCTTCTCAATTACCATAGAATATCGTATCGAACTGCTGCAACTTCCCGCTCATTGTATGTGCAGCAGTCAAACTTCTGTCGTTGTTGCCGTCGGCAGGGAGAGCAGGCAAGGCATATGGCACGGGAGCGTCGTTGTCGGCAAGGTAGCATTGAATACGATGTGTAGAGAGATGTTCAGCTTCAGTGGAGGAGGTAGCGGTTGAAGAGTTATGCGAGGTAGTGCTTGGGCTAAATAAAGAAGGTATGTTAGAAGGATTCTTTGAAAGCGGACACAGTTGGGAGGGAGGAATGAAAGAGATCTTGATTGAAGACAAAGTATTGTATTGCATATTAGTAGGTTTTAGCTAACCTCATAGCAGGTGAAGCCGGGATGTGCAAAAATGGACAGAGAGGACGAGTTGCAGGATACTTGATCCAATGGAGACACCGCTGAAAGAGTATCTTAAAGTTCAAGAGGCTAGAGGATAGAAAGAAAAAAGCTATCGAGGAACATCATGGTATGTTACGAACTTTAGAAGATATCCCATATAATATTATCGAATGCAGGAAACAAAGATAACTTACTCGGAGGTTATAGAGCCTTGCACAGCGATGCAGGAGCTCTTACTAGTGTTCGACATGGTTACTTTGGGATTTGAGGTACGTAGACGTGTTGTTCGGGATTGGCGAGAGGAAACTAGCAATTGAACTATGACAATCTGAGCAAGAAGAATCTCTTGTATAAAGGAAGAGAAGAAAATGGTAAAAACCTTGGGGAAATAAACTGTGTATATATTCAAGTGCAAAGCACTGAAGGAATCTCTCAAGAAATCATTTGGGTCATCGGTCACATTTTCAAAATGTTACACCAAACAATGTACACACCAAACGATGTACATAACAAGGAGCGGCGGGTTCCAATATCATATCATTGAATGGTCTGTCCAATGTACTCCCTGTAGTTAACATAATGCCTGCTCGTCTATGCGGGAGACCGTACTGTGCGTGTGAAATTTGTTGGAGGTGGGTCAAAGTGAGATGTGGACCTATAGCGATAAAGCACACACACAGACCCTGAAGGAAATTGAGGCAAACAGATGCGAACCTCATTCTTTCTTTAGCAATTTTGATTGGAACGTGGCAAGGCAAAGACGATATGGCAAAAATGATGTTTCCTTCAAGAACTACAATCTTTAATTTTTTGATCAGGACTTGAAAGCTCTTCAATATTGGAAGCCTAAAGCAATGCGAACTACTCAAAGTTCATAATCTTTCACGTTCTTTCCTAGGATTTGAGATTGGTTCAAGGCTGGGTTTCCAAAATGCTCTTGACCAACAAGGCTGCGTGAAAGATAGAACATTGTGATTTTGCGCACTATTTGCGAACCACGATCTTACGTGCTGTCGGTCATGTTTTGAAGGCCATTCAAGGCTGATAGGGGTAAAACAGTGCGTATGCGTCTCGAAAATATTTGAAAGAAATGTAAACCGCATTGTTCTTAGGTAGAATAGCTTCGAGCCAAACGATACTGAATTTTTTTCAATGATGCAAAAAGATTTGCCACCCAGGCTGATGCTTTAAAGTGGCTATACTTACTTCATCCAGTCAGGAATACAACTCAATTGTATACAACAATATAATCGTTTTGATTACAGTACGCTTGTATCTTCTTTCAGAAGTCAATGGGTTTGAGATATACCTATTTCGTATATGTTGATCCGTGACTTATTGCCCATCAGCTTCAGGTTCGTAGAGCTCCGTGGCTATGTGCTTCAAAGTTGCTACCTCAATGAGCAAACGTTCGCCTTGCTTAATACTGTATTGATATATCTACCCGGAGTTGAGTCTGATGAATATACAAATGAGTTAATTTGGGCAACAGCCACGGTACTAAACCTACATCTGGCTCTCGCATACAGTATACTCCCAGAGTACAAGAACTCACAGTATCGATGACGTACACACTTACGCGAAAAGAATTGCAGGTTATGTAGTACGGAGTATGCCTGGGGGGATAACACTGCGTGAAGAAGTCTTGGAAGCTTCGAAATTTTGTTCTTCAGACGCAGTTGTTTGATGCTAGATGCCAAGCTTTTTATCTCATGAGCTATATCGTGCCGAACCATTTCGGATGTCGGCCGCAAGGAATGACCCGAATCGGCAGATTGTTCGGGTTCCGGCCGGATTGGTTGTCGTTTCGTCGCAAGTTACACCGTAAGCCGCAATGCAATTCAATGCTTCCCGTTGTAGTATGATCTTTTGGAAAATAAGGATGCTCCTTGACTGTTTCACAACTTTCGCCAAGTAGCAGTACCAAGTTAACAATGCCCCATGTCAACTGCATAATCTTGGCTACTGTAAGTAGCGGCTCGACAAATAAGGATTTCGATATCATTACCCCGCTCCCTACACAGGTTTTTCAGTCAACAGTAGATTTTGTCTCTCTGTCATTCTTACTAATTCTCCTTGAGGTAATAAATAAGCAAAGTCACTGGGTCAAATCATATCTTTGGCCCCTGAACTGAATTTATTGATTTCGCTTGTGGTGGCAATCTGCTTTCGTCCTCTACGTCAGTCTAGGAGCTACCACTCGATACAGTGTACGTGATCGGACTTCGCAAATTCAGAGCACTTTCCTTACAATTATCTTATTAGTTCTTGCATCCGTCTGCCTTTCATACTCACCGTCTGGCTGCAAGTGTCGCTACATTCACACATCCCAAACTAGTAATTTCGCATGCGTCACACAAATTAATTCTGCGCACGGAATCTTTGTGGAACTTTTAGTCTTTAAATTCTTTCTTGCGTGCTCTGAAAGGTAGTTGGATGTTTAAACTAACGTAGGAGAGTACAAAGCTTTTATCTCTTGACGCGAACAGCCCCACTTTCTGGATCGGTCCCCATTCTATAGCCGAAATGGACTCGCTTCCTACGTTGCACGACCTGCTGAACAAACACTTGGTAGAGCTATCGGGATTTGGAATATGGGAGACAGTCTGCTTCCATTATTCATTGCCAGACAGAGTGTTGTTTGAGCCAGCTATACTCTAGCCAAATCACCCCATTGGAAACAAGCCCTACTCCAGAATTCTAGCAAGCTCTGGGGTGGCAGAGCGTCTTCATCATTGTTGTATTTGTATACACTACACTGAATTGACGTAGCTGTCAAAATCCTGCTGCGCCGATAAAAAAATGAGTATTGAACAATTTGTGACAAAGACATGCTGCTGCTCGACAAAATGATTACTAGCCACACTTACACGTGTTGGATGGCGTACAGAATGTTTGGGTTCTAGCTCGAACAGTAATAAAAGCATAAGAGCAGATAAACAGAAGTTACATTGATAGTGAAATGTTTGGATCTTAAGACGCGTACGCTTTGAATCGAAATGAATCTGTTTGGAATTCCTGAAGCAAAAGAAGGAGTTCTTCTCTTTAACGATTCTTATCAACGTTTCAAAGGAACCATATTAAAGTTCTCCCGATAAGGAGAGCTCATAGTATCCCTTTCTGAGTGTACCTCTATGCTTGAACGCACATGCACTTTATCCACCGAGATATTGCCTTCCTCAGCATCATGTAAGCTTGTGAACGGGTGCGTTGAGTCGGTCGACATTGATTCCCCGAGAGTAAGCTCCCCCTTTCTTTTGCGATTTTGTTTGCTTGGCCCCGATCCGATTGTCCAAATCGCTGGTCTATCTGAGGATGGTGGTGATGTTGCGTTCTTCTTGCGCCTGAATAGACACACCCATACGATGCGCAGTGTGGGGAGACAAGCTTTTGTCGGGTTTCATCAGTATGTTTCATTCAGGATGGGAGAATAAAAAAATCGGTGGTGTATCAAGGTAAGTGAAGCGGCATACCTGATACTATTGCAAAATTACTCTCCACCACCGCCCATATCCCCTGGTTCACCCAGTTCCAGCTAAAATCCGAAACCGAATTCTGCTGCCAAACACTGATCAACCTCATAATTGATGCTATACAGACGCTGTATCAGATTGAAATTAGATTAAATGCATGTAAAACATAAGTTACTTGACTTTCTCAGAACTTACAATCCTCCAAGTAAGAACGTGCCCATCAAAAGTCGTTTTTGAGACCAGGCAGTATTCAATCGCAAAACATACGGGATTGGTAATAAAAGCAAAGCAACATCCGTAAGGATATTAGGAACCGAAATGCCGACCAGGAATTGCTGGCTATTGACGTTGCAAGAAGCGTGGATGTCTTTATCCCAGAAACCTTTTGGAGGCACGCAGGTGAAAATGGACAGAAAAAGCTAAATGGGTTGAGTTAGAATCCTGGCAATGGATGGAGAGATGGATCGCTTACAACTGCAATTCCCCAAGATGTGACAATCGCCGCTAGTATTGCTACTGGCCATTTGATACTGGTGCTTCGAAAGACTCGCCAGTACAAGGCCAAAATAGAATATTTGACGAAGACGATGATGACAGTGTATATCACTTCAGCCATGAAGAACCCCAAGAAGAAATTATACTCCGCTTTTGGGCCAAATGCCTCCATGTGTTTACCAAATCCGTTTGGTATCCCTAGTACTGAGTGAGTAACAGTGATAGAAGTGCATGAGTGTAGAGAACTCCAACTTACACCAACAAAAATTGATCATCATCGCAACACCGCCAACCTGGATAGGATTAATTCCGAGCTGTTCTTCAGAAGTTGAAACGTACCAGTGCTATGCAAATAAAAAGATCATCCAACCACAAGCCAGCACCAGCAACTCGCCGCGACCAAACGCGAAGTCCCACAGCTACTACAGCTGCGAAAAATGTGATAATATCTGCTGCGTACAAATTGGCTTGCCTGCTGGCAGACAGATCGATTGAATCAGCCATAGCAAACGTAAATTTGCAGTAAGAATAGAATAAAGTGAAGATAGGTATGAAGAAAGCTCCAGGTCAGCAATCCGTGGATACCGGTCCGGAGGTCAGCAGCAAGTATAATATAACATGGTAAAAGTCTGATGTTACACATATGCCGCTTCCTTTCATGCAGTCATCTTCGGATACTTGATCTCATGTTACATTGTTTTGGCTTACTGTAAAATTATACGCATGTATGCTCATGGAATGGCCATCAGCTCGGACTCAGCCGTATATTGGATTTGATGCTGTGTTCAGGCGGTTCAATTATCAGTCATCGATTCGACAAACAAAAGTCATGATATGAAACTATACAATGCAACAGAAGAATTCTAGAGGTCTTAAACCGATAGGATATCGAAATTCGAGACGGCTAATCGGTCATCTTCGTAAATCTTGCTAGATATTGGCATAGTGGAGAAATCGAACACGGCTTTGAGTACCTGGCTCCTTGGGTATTGCTATATGCCTATTAATCTATCTTTAGGGGGGTTGCTTACTTCTTGCCATGGTAGGACAGGGGTAGTTGATAGGGGCAATGCATTAAGAGAAGACGCAAGCCCCGCACTGTGTAACGTTGGCGAGAGGTTTTTTAATTAACACCCGCTGATTGCCGATCATTTCCACCGTTTGGTTCTCAAACAGGTTAGACCCAACATTGCTGATGCATGTAGCGTGATATTTACCCACACATATATGGGCTGATCTACTGTGAAATTGTTTCTATTTCAACAATTTTTGAATAACATCTCTCAAGTTATCTTGGATCTAATATCGCAATATGAGTTCTCCTCGTCCAACTCTTGTGTTCTTTGCGGGTGCGTTTGCTGACCCTTCTTGCTTCGACCGTGTTGTACCTTTGTTTGAAAAGGCTGGATATCCATCCGTCTATGTTCGCATTTCTTCCTGCAATCCAGACCCGTCCGATTTGGGCTCCATATCTTCTTCCAACGACGTTTCAGAGGCTCGCAAAAATGTTCTATTGCCTCTCATTGAGGAGCAACACAAAGATGTAATTGTTATTGCTCATTCTTATGGAGGAGTCGTTGGAGGAGCTGCTGCAGCAGGCTTGAGTAAAGCTGACCGTAGCTCTCGCGGCGAAGTTGGTGGTGTCTTGGGTCTGGTTTACTGGGTCGGTAATATTGTCTCTGAAGGCGAAAGCTTATTCGAAGCTGTCGGTGGTGCATACCCTCCTTTTATCAAAGTTGGAACAGTGAGTTTAAACCCAAGCCAGCCCGAGTTGGGAAGTTTGTTCAATGCTAATGAATTTTTTTGCTTTGCCATAGCCATCTCCGGGTCTTGCAGTCATTGACCCTGTAATGCCAATCCTCTACGCTGATTGTGATACATCTTTAGCACCGACTCTGGAAGCTGCTATGATTCCCCATGCCTTAGCAGCCTTCGAGACCCCGGCTCCGGCTCCAGCTTGGGCGGAGGCTTCGTTTGATGGACGTCGTGTCTACATTCGTACTGCGGACGACCAATGCAATCCATTGTTTCTACAAGATATTTGGATCGAGAAGAGCAAAGTCTCGTGGGATATCGCAGACCTCAAGACATCTCATTGTCCATTTATCAGCTGTCCCGAGGAAATTGTTGAGAAAACCCTCACTTTCATTGAGAAATGGACTTAGTTTGGGAGTCAGGAAAGAATGCAGCGTTCTATGCTAGACTTATGGAATGAAATAGGTGATTTTCTATCGATTAGGAGGCAGTAGATCTTGACCTGGAGCTCATGCAAGGTGATCTATAATGTGAAAACACTCCGATGTGTACTTGTCTATTTTGATACATAATCATCGCTATCATAGGCCACATGACTTGGATTTACGATGCAACAAATTCGAACGCATAATCACTATACTATAGCGCCTCCAATCTAATTCAGTCCAGAACCAATGAGGAGTTCCCAGTTAGATCCTCGTATAGTTCTATTGTGCTTAACCACTACCTAGTTACCTTTCTTTGACATAATACAGTCTAGGTCTTATGATAGGCCAGGAAAGACACAGTGATGACGTGATTCTCGGTGTCATCTTCTTTGATTGCCGGACCGATTTTGTTTTCGTAAATTTTCTCACTAAGATCAGCTCAAACCTATTCTATGTCACAACCCAATAACTTCTCATTTATCGCGTTTCGAAATTCGACATGCAGTAAGTCCTAGATATTTATTTGGGAAACTGATAACCCCTTTCAAAACTGTATCTTTGGTCTGCAAAAAGCTATATCCCTCCTTTCAGAATCCAAAAAAACTTTTGACCTAGCCGCTTACTCAGCCCGGCATTCATTCGAATGACGCCGAGTAGACAGACGGAACCCAAGACAATGCAACGTCCCAGAGTAGTCAACACCATTCATTGCGAGAGCGTGATCTAGTCTGGTGTCCGCATCCATTCCGCTGTGATAATACCCAGTCTTTCGCATTATTTAACTCTCGAGATTTGAGACCTTATCCTCAAAGCGCAATTTCATGCATCCATTTGATTATCTAAAAAGACGACGAGTGAAGCAAAGATATATTTTTGTCAAGATTTGGACACTAGAGATAGGCACATTCACAATTATGTTTTGCATATCAGGGATGTTTTCCATGTCAGAGCTTTGACACAAGGGGCTTTGAGGCGTTGACTGTGCCCCAGGCTGGACTTGGACTATCATGCTAGGGAGATAAACAATATGTGAAGATGACATTTCGAATTGCTTGTGTAATCGCTTTTGAAGGGGTTTCAACCAATTGTTGCTCCTCCTAGCCACTATCTGACGTGGGAATAGGAATAAGATTTGATCAGTATCCATCTACGTAATCCATTCAAGCAAATGAAAGGGGAAATCCGTATACGAACATCGCACTGCAGAACTGTTGTAGACCGGATCGTCCTTTCATTGATCTCCGGATACTTCTGGGTTCAAGGGAATGACCAGGCTTACTGGAACCTCACCAATAATGATCAAATCAACAATACGATGAGTAATAAATGCCGTTTCTCACTTTCCAGCTTATGCTCATGTGTTGAATTCTAGGTTCGGCATTGAGTCAATAGTATGTCACTGTAGCTCTTTTGCCGCAACGGTGCATTTTTTATGGCAGAGATTGCATCGTCGGCTGCGTTCATCCAATATGCTTGAGATAGGGGTTGTGGGATTCCAGGCGGACAATAGCATCGATTAGGTTGACAGAGTCCTACTGGCAGGATCTTGCAGAACAGAAAGTTTCACACAAGAGACAAGAGAGGCCATGTTACATTGCCAAAGCTGATAGAAGAGCATTGAATACCTTGGAAGTCATAATGGGACAAATATACCAGGCATACCATGAAATTTAGGTTGCAATTACTTGTCATTCAGTTTGTTGTTCTCAATTGCTATTGGTGCTGTGTCTAGGATTGCTATTACATGGCCAATATCTTGGAGATCCAAGTCTTTCAAGTGTAAGACGTCGAATCTTTTGTCCGCTTCTATTTCTGACTTTAAGTACGAAGATCAGAATGCCTATCATTAACCATGAAGCAAAATAGCTGAAGATCAAGTGAAGGCTCAGTGTGCGAGATCTTGCAACCTAAATTAATCTCCCTTTTAGAACAATTGATTAATATCAATTGGACAGAAAGCACTACTAAACGCTGACGACACGCATTTGACATAAGAATAGAATTCAGCACTTCGCCACATATACTTTCAGGCATTTCCAGTTGCAAGGAGTAAGCACTGCTTATAAAGAAAGCTCCAGACCTCAGAATTCTCTCTATTCATCAGTATTTCTACACACTTCTTCTTTCTAACTCCTCAAAACTCTCCAAAAACTCTTCAATTAAATAGCAATGGCTCCTTTTATGGCTTCAAGCCCACAGTCGGCCGATACTTATGAATCTATTCCCAAGGGTGTTTATGCACTGAAGCGCGATTTCAACGCGAGTACTAGGTAAGTTATTCTTTAACAACTTGCAATTGATTTGAGCTTGCCTTTTCTGACTAGAATCTTTGTAATAGACTTACTGCTCAGCACTACCTGTGGAAAGATGCGCTCAAGTTCAACATCCATCCAGACATACCTACGGATAACAGTCAGATAAGAATTGCAGATGTTGCCACAGGAAACGGGTTTGTCAAGACACTACTTCTACCTCCTAGTCAAACACTGATATGTAATCCTAGTATTTGGCTTTTAGATGTGGCACGCGAAGTTCCTCCGTCGGCAAGACTAGACGGCTTCGACATCAGTCTTGATCAATGTCCTCCATCCCCATGGCTACCGGCCAACACCAATCTTCACACCTGGGACGTCTATAAAGAGCCACCAAAACAATTCCAGGAGACGTTTGATATTGTTCATGTGAGGTTGATTACAGTTGCTATCAAGAACAATGATCCCAGACCTGTTTTGGCGAATTTGCGGAAATTACTTAGTAAGTTGATCATATGCTCAAGTTCATCGTGTTCATGATACTAACACATGAAATCTAGAGCCTGGTGGTTTCCTTCAATGGGATGAGGCTGATAGCGTTGATTGGACCGTCAAGACTATTGACTCGTCTGTGGCTACAGACGCCGTAAGACGCTTGTTTCAACAGCTGTGTGGATCTCACGAGTGAGTGGAGACTTGACAAAAATTGAATCCCGATTAGCTAACGAAGCCAGCTGGAAGCGCTATATGGTAGACATACTCAATGAAGACGGGTTCGAGGATGTCCGACTCCACAAAGTGGAATATGACCTGACTATGGCAAGGTATTGGAATGACGTGTAAGAAACTATACCATAATGCTCGATGGAGTACACATCTTGCTGACACTTTCTAGATATATGAGCACTTGGGATGAGTTTGCAAAGATGATTGTGCGGAAGCCTGAAGAATCACTACAACTCAGCCGGGAAGCCATGGATCAAGTGCGTGATGGTTGCGCTATATCTTGCCCTAAGCTTGTCTGGATTGCACAGAAGGCTTGGTAGTTGACAAATTTCTTTCTACGAATGGTAGATTGTGATCAGTTTTCAGAATTCTATTCCAATACGAATATAATCTTTTGTCTTTTTTGTTCATGGCACCTATGAGATGAAGCAAAGTCCGTGGGTGAAAGTATTACCTAGTCAATTCCAGTTACATAATAAACGCCTGTAAATCTATCAATAACTGAAAAAAGATGCAACATCTATTCAACCAATCACTGAATGTACTCATCACTTTCAGTGTTTCCCATAATCCCCCCACCTGCTCTTCAAATCATCATATTCCTCCTCCTCCTCCACCCCCAACCTTTTATTAACCATTCTCTCCACTCTCCTAATCAATCTATCCTCCTCTGCCTCTGTTCCATCCCAAGCTCCTTGCCCCATCACCCTGGGATCCTTCACACTGAAGAGATCCTCAGGTTTATCCTCGACCACTTTATGAAATCCTGTGTATATTGCCTTTGTAAATTTCTCGGCATCAGCTTTCCCGCGCTCATCATCATCTCGGGTTCGGACTATGCGACGTTTGCGATCGCGGGAAACCTGATTTAGACGTGCATAAGCCCAGTCGTCTGGAGAATCGATGTAAAACCCTTTGGGAAGCCAGAGTCGGAGCCAATTCACAAAGGTTACGAAAGCAGAGTCTTTAGTAGTTGTTTTGCAATCATCGGGGGTTTCCTATGGTTGGATTGTAAGATTGTTCTGATGGAAGAGAGCGACAGGAAAAACTTACGATTGATTCGACCTTGCTGAGTTCAAAGCCGAGAATCGTGTATACACTCCACTATGAAGTGATTAGTCCCCCTTCTAAGAGATTGATCAAGGCGAAGAAAAGTACTAACCAAAGCCGCATGCCGATAAATCATATCAATAGCCTGACGAGGAGGCATATGGATCATGCCGATAAGTCCGTGCGACTTTGCAGTTCTGAAGAGAATTCCACTTCTATTGTGGGCTCTGCCATTCTGATCAAACCACATAGCTGGGCAATTGACTGTTCCATCTTTGAGTCTGATACCAGCCTCTCTGTCATAGGCAACAAGTGCTAGTCGCTCATCGTGATCTTTCTTTTCGTCAAGTCGATAGAAGTGCAGCTCGATTAGGTGTGGGAGTTCGTGGACGTGGGCTGACATTTTGGTGATCAACTATTTGACAATAGTTATGCTTTGAAAAGCAAATAGAAGTTCCGTCAGAGAAGAATTCCACATAAATAGGTGGAAATTTGTGGCCGTGTTGATGTGGTGGCGAAGAATGTAGGCTTCTTTGTACGCTTTCCAGGTCTTTTATAAGGCCATGGAAAATTTCCTAAGTATCTTGTTGGGCAGCAAGTCTCTTGTGAATTTACAAGGTATTGCAACTCTAATCGCAAAGCCATGAGATTTCATTCGTTAAATTGATTTATTCCTGGCGGTGGATGATAAAAAGTCTCTGCAAATATGATGATTATAACAGTCCAGACAAAATAGCTAGCATGATGTCCATATAGACGATTCATCAAGGGTCGCGATCAACATAATCCGACTTATCTTGCTGAAGCATTGCCGTGAGGATGAATCACCATGAACCTAGACCCCGATTTAATCACTTTTCTATATGAGTGCCAGAGCCTGTGCTAAAATGGCCAGCCATTGGTGTTCGTCAATAGCCCAGAGCCAGGTCATTTCCACAAATTTGTGATTCTTCCGACCAAACATACCTATCTAGACAGTGTATTGGATGAAGACGTTTTGTATCTTGTTCTGTTATTGAAGTTTCTGTTATCAGTAACTCAACATATTGAACGAAGAATCTTTGGAATCCATTTTGAGAATTCCGCAAGGTCAATTCAATATTCGCACTGGGAGCTCTCCAAACTCACTGACACTGGAACTCTCTTGTGCAAATGGACCTAATATCTAGTTTGAGCACGACGGTATTTGAGTATTGATTCTTGGCCAGCAAATTGGACCACGCAATCCAAGGCAATTTTCGAGGTCCAATAGTCTTCTAGTGCGCCTGGACTTCCAGTAATGATAGTCCACATTTCGTAAACTTTTGCCCCCATCAAACTCGCAATTTCATTTAATTCCTTGGCATGTCTTCTGTAGTATGAAAGCGTATCGTAGAAATTCTGGCTGTTGAGAAGTGACAATCAAACCACGATTAGAGGGAAAAAACATTTCCGGGTGGCAAGGCGGTCACACATAAGGACACCAACGATAACAGTAAGAGACCAGCAGAAGATCAGCTGACTATGCCGATCAACATGTTTGTCTCAATGACACAGAGTCTAGAGTTGAGATTTTGATGTCATCTTAGGTTCGGGTTTGGCAAAAAAATCCACATCCGAGTTCTTCTTAGCCAAACTACTAGAACCGAACTATAGGGCTTATGCAGTACGACTCGGCACGACAATGGTCGCACGTTAGTTTTGCGATCTCTGCACTTGAATGGGACCGGAGAATTTTTTGTACTTTGGTACAGACCCCCATTAGATTTTCTTGTAAGGCTGAGGCTTGATTGATTTCAAGATGTGTTGAGATGGCACCACTCCACGTGGAAGATTGATACTATCAATTCAAATGCTCCGGTTTGTGTAGAGCTCAGGAATTGACTTGTTGATTTCAGAATCAATCGTTAACTCATAGTTTCAAGTCATTGATCAAGAACGGGTTCGATAATCAGTTGTATAGGAGAAATGTTATTTATCGTGAATTTGTTCTCGCAAATTGGCGACGGAGATATACTGTACTTAAATTTCAGGTGGTGCATTAGGCCTTGGTAGCCATTTTATCTATCGCTAATTGTACACTACACCTTGAGCCGAGAATGAGCCGTGAGAATGAACACTGCGAGACCAACCTAATCTATGTAAATGTTAGAATATTATTAGGAGAAAGCTGTAGTACCATACCTCACCATATCAAAGTTGTGTTGATGAATTTTGCCATCTGATGATGTTAGTTTCGGAAAATAATTAGTTAGAAGATCAATCCGATGGTCTCTTTTGGCCCTAGTTTCTATCTCACAAGGTTGAACCACATGGGAGAGAAAGAGATTTTCAGCTTGTGAGATAGAGCCGAGTGCCAGTGAGGCTCGCTTTATGGCCGCCCGTTTTATTTAACCACCGGATTCGTTCCCGACAGAAAGCCGAGATTACTATTATTCTCCAGCTCCCCGGCCTTGTTAGATGTAACCAAACATAGTCGCATAGCCACATTAAAAATCGAGAAATCTTTCTCAACTCACCCAGGAGATATTCCCGATACGCAATACCAAGGTGGGATTATGTCGTGATAAGGAGATTTACTATCTTTGGAGACAACATACTGCTTATCATATCGTTAACTGGTACTAGAAAGGCACAAGGCTTTGCTCGAAAAATGAGCAGAGTCACCTGCAAGGAATTTTTGAAACTCTCATATGATGCCAAGACATTGCGCTGCGGGGAACCCATAATATCTAACCGGAATCACAAAAAATGTGAAATATTCAAACTCTTCAAATGCTGTCCCACAGTAGTATAGATTTATCGCAATCATACATGACACCGATCTCTGCCAAGCGTTGTCGTGTTGTGCCTACCTATCTCCATTAGATTACAGGGCCAATTAAAGACGGGGAAGAACGATGAGATGCGATTTATTTGAAATATGACAGCACCCAAAAAATCTGTCAATATTGCACGATCTTGCAGTGCTCAGAGCCCCTGAGATGTTGCACGTATCACAGCGTCTACAGTCATCATAAATGAAAGATAAAAGTCTATTGGGGGTAAACAAACATTTATGAGATTACATAGACAAGGTTGATTCTTGGGCATCGGTACATTATCTTATATGCTATCAGTACATCCTATACCCCCCATAAGAATAAAAGAGTCATACGTTTAATAAACTCTTTCAAGTGTTTTTGTAATAATCAAACTTCAAACACTAGATGTGTAATAATAGTAGGTTATTTTAGTTACTCAAATTTTGATATTTCATTTCAAATCGTAAATTATTATTAGTAATAATTACTATTTATTTTATTTATTATAATACTAATAAATCTCTATCCTAACAAGATCTAAAATGCTAATAATAATTTCATTATTCGCCAATGAGAATAATTAAGAATACTAGGTTAAATATAATCAGTAATCTATAGCGTTATGCCCTATTTAGGCTTAGCCTTACTATGAAGAGTTCTACTCTTATATCCTATTTCGCGCTCTTATTTGTTTCTTTTCGTTTACAACTGAGATCTATTTCACGCTTTCATTTGTTTCTTTTCGTTTGCAACTGAGATCTATTTCGCGTTCTCATTTATTTCTTTATGTTTGCAATTGAGAATTCTTTCAACAGGCTATTACCCCTCGGCTAGCGGTTGTCAAATCTATGGATCACTCAAATATTCTCCGAAGATGCAGGTGCAAACGCCACTTGCACATAGATTATCAGGACTGCCAGCCTCAACTTTGATAAGTCGGTCTGAATCGCCGTTGGGAATTTCTGGAATCTCTTTAGTGAATGCAAAGGGTACATTTCCACCCGATGATTATCTCGCCGAGTGCATACGGGTTCGTTCCGTTCCGAGCATAGTTCGGCAGGTAGAGCAGCCACCCGTTATTATCGTGGTCCAAGCTTACCATGTCAACAGCTTGGATATGAGTACTTCCATCTCGTAATGCCTCTATTTTAGGTGTACTTGATCGTGCATATGCGTGTAGTTCAAGTTTATAGACTGTTGGTACACCTGTCACTTCTTGGTCTTTCCCTTTCAGGTGAGTGTTCGTTTGACTGATCTTTTTAAATACTGATTATATCTAAAAGGTACTTTATATTCGAGTATGACTCCAACAGTGCTGGTGTACCTTTTTACAAGATTTTTCCTCCGTCTTTCCTGTTGCAGATACTTGATTGATTATACTAGTAAATTGAGTCATTATGTTTGTGTTTGATAGTATTGATTTTTACGTGTTAATTAGGTATATACCCTTGAATCTTGGAATGTACCTGAAAAACTCAAGTGTTTGTGGCCGAAAAAAATAATAATCGTTGGACGAGTGTACAACAATAGACATCTACAAAGAGAAAAGAGCAGTCTGGATTAGGTTGGAATAGTCATTTTTTGGTGTGAGACATACCCTTCGACCATAGTTCAGTAATAGGCATGGTGCATGATGCATTAGTCTCGTGGCTCGAGCGCATTGTGAGAAACAGCCTCCTCCTCAGAGCGCAACAGTCTCAATGTCATGAAAATTGCCGTCTATAGATTAGTAGCTTGTTCAATTTACTACTATTATATAAGATCCCTCTTCTCTAAGCACGTCTCTACGTCTCCTAAGCCCTTCCCTCCAGATTCAATTCCTCTTGTCACCATTGAACCACGATACTTTTGCGAACCGCCGAATCAAAAATCTTTACAAGCACCATTATAATGTCTAGCCTGAGTCAATGCTCCAATTTGGCGGTCCAAGGCTCCGAGGTGGCTGGGTCAGTATTCTTTCTTTTTAGACCCGTTTCCGTTTCATAGGTGGTACATTTCACTCGAGGGGTTTCAAGCTTCAATGAAGACTCATTCTCTTCTACCACTTTGATGCCCTGCTCTGTTCCTTGCTGGATACTAGCTGTAGTCAAGTCTTTCTCTACTCATTTTCATCACTCGGTCCCTCGCTTTAGAGTCTAAAACAATCAGCTCTGCCAACTATGCACTTGGCATCGCCATTGACCTTTCTGTACCTCTTTATATGTTGATCGTTTCCTTGATATTCTCTCCCAGTCTCAAAGCAAAAATCAGCAAGTCTGACACTCTTGTATCTAACTAGAACGAATGAAAGTTCTACTTCGCCGAACTGTTCCAGTTCCAGTTCAGTCCCCGCCTCTACCGAAACTACCAATCCCTCATCACTCTATGCTTACCGCATAGATCGCTACCTTGCTGATCCGGATCAGTATGTACCCTATAACTCGCCTTCTATAATCGGCGACGAGCCGTCTAGCGCAAAACACACCGATATTCGCGAGGAAGCTATTGCAGCGGACCCCAAAAGATGTATTACTGAGGTTCGTGACTAGCTATGACACATGAGAGAACTTTGGCTTCGTAGTAAGCAACCTTTCAGAGAGCTTGCTTTGCGGGAGGGATCAGAATGGGCATATCGATGGCAGTAGTGAGTAAGAACAAAGGTTGAACTCAAAGCATGGCTATGAAGAGAAGCTTTCCGGATTGATGGATTAAAAAATGCTCCTATAGCTCAGGTCTATAGATATAAGACAGGAACTAGTTCTTTGGGCAATCCAGACACTAGTTTCTTTTGGGAATTCATGATTCAATTTCCCAATTGACTGATCGCGAGTCCTCTGACACACTTGCAGTTCTATGTGACAGATCCCCATAGTGTCTTCTCTTTCCCAACTAAAGATCCATGAATGCGCTACTGTTTCCTTGCCGACAATTGAATTTAATTGGTGGTCGTGGGGCAGTACAACGATTAAGAAGCTAATTTCAAGGTCTGATAAGGATACTGTTGGTATCACCATGGGGATGGTGGAAGTACTATGGTACTATGGTTCACACTGTTGTAATATTGCTTGAGGTGTTAAAAGCCAATAAGGTTACGAAACGTATAATGCTGTAGTGCCGAGGCGCTAGTGCGGCCACATGATCCCTGTCCCAACAGATACACTAAACCTATTTAGTCGAGATCATTGAAATTTCGATAATCTCGACCTTTTGGGAATTCTTCACATCAACCTTTATAAATAGTACATGATGATTTCCAGAATGAAAGCGTTTCCGACAAAGTGAAAAACGGCAGTCTTCAATGCAAGTGCATGTATGGTATTTCCCAAGATGAGAAATCCAAGTTGAAACCGGTTGACTCCGTTTCTGAGTTATCATTTCGTCAACTAAATTTTTTAAGAATTTTGATACAAGATATTCGTTCAACATGAATGAAACATATACTAGTAATATCAAGTTTCTTTGGATTCAAACATGGGAATGTATCCTCTTAAAAAAATGTTGAGAATGATACCTCAAGCAAAGCAAAATCGGGTAGTGTGAGATTAATAATGAAGTTTTGAGAATATAGAATTCCATGATACAAAACATCAAACATCAATTCATTATGTTTAAATCCCATATCCAAAAATAGAAAATAAATATGTGACGGTGGGGAAGCATCTCACCGAAAACTATGGTTCGCAAGAATATTTGCATTTGCCTTACACCCAATTTCATAACTAGCTTCCAAAGAAAAAAGCACTTTTTTCAATATCATCTCATCGAACTTTTGAAATTGAAAATTCAATTCGATCAATACAACTCCAAATTGAAAAAACTTTATATAGAAATATAGATTTCAATTGATAAAATCGATAAATAAAATATGAATAATTTCGATCAAGATTTCATTGAATTGGAGGTGGTTGAATGAAATGATGATTTTTTATATGGTTTTTAGGCTTTTGAAGTTTCGAAAATTGAATTTTCATTTAACTACCTCCAATTCAATGAATTTTGAATCGAAATTATTTATATTTTATTCATCGATTCTATCAATTGAGATCTATATTCCTATACAGAGTTTTTTCAATTTGGAATTGTATTAATCGAATTAAAAGCAATTGAATTATTTTCATATAGGATTTAGCAAAAAGTTGATTAGATCAAAAAAAGTCACGTTTTGGAAGCTAGTTATGAAATTGGGTATATTTGTAACACATGGTGGGGGAAGCATTTCACCGAAAACTATGGTTCGCAAGAATATTTGCATTTGCCTTATTTGTGACATATGGTGGGGGAAGCATTTCACCGAAAACTATGGTTCGCAAGAAGATTTGCCTTATTTGTGACACATGGTGGGGGAAGCATTTCACCGAAAACTATGGTTCGCAAGAAGATTTGCATTTGCCTTATTATTCTTTGTGATACATTTATTTCAAAGAGGCTCTCATATAACAATCAGGTAAACTCACTCATTCAAAAACATATAAAGAACTATCATAATCCCAAAATTGTTTCCATATGCAGTATCTCTTCTTTAACTTGATTATACTTTCTCGAACTTTGCTCTTGAGGATTAGTGATTCCAACAAATTTACGTGCACTGGCTCCTCGTTACTCGTACCCTCTTTCATATTACCAATTCCACCTCATTTCACATCATGCCTGGTCAAACTTCCGAAATTGTCTCGGAAGACTTCTCTAACACTCCTTGGTAAGTTAGGAGTTTACGAAATATTCTTTTATCTCGTATTTATCTTCCCTCATATCTGAGTGCTTTCCTCGGTTCAACCATAGTTGTACATTTACCTCTTCCCTTCAAAGATCTACTTCTCAGAGTCACCTTCTCATGTCGTCTCTTGTTCAATGCTATTGCTTGTACTCAATGTTATATCGATAGATTATGATTTTACTTATCTCAATTCACTCTGAAATATACTAACAGCTGTCTCTCATGTCCAGCCCAAAGAATATCTCATCTTTCCGATCTTCATCTGCCAAGTCCGCGGAATCCCAAAGAATTGCGGCCTTTCGCATTCATAGCTACCTCCAAGACCCAAACACCTCTGTTCCATATGCAATGATGGTCAACAATCCTCAAGCTAGTGTTCATAAACAGCTTAGCAGAGTAGCGGCCGCCGGATATAGAATGGGTACCATGCTAGAGAAATTCGATAAGGCTTTTGAGGGCAATACCGGTGGGGGTAACAATGATTCTAATGATCCGAGCAGTACTGGCTCTCAAATTCATTGCTTGGACGATAAATTAGCCCAGGGATGGCATGCGGAGAAGGGCAGTTAAATTGAAAATTTATGGTTGGGCTCAGACGGAGTAAGGAGATCACTTGTCGATTCCATAAATCCCACTGCTATTGTGTCAAAATTCTGGAGCGTTTCTTGAGTTGTGAAGGGGTAAATTTTTATTGAATTGTTTGCTTTTGAGTGGAAAATGACTTGTTAGGAAACAATGCGAAACTTCCCCTTTAAATCCTCGCTTAAAACTTTGTGAGACGTTTCCTCTCGAACTATCTCTAAAACTGTGGACTCGCTCAGTGTTATGTGGCAATTATGAAATGGTGATAGTCATATCAAGGTAAGCCAAAGAATCATAATAGATAACGTAGCATTCTTACGCAATCGTGTATGTAAGCTGCAGCTGCAGCTACAGGCATCAAAATGGAAAGCGGGGTTGTATCACGTGCACACTTCAATATTGAAGATACGCTCATACATTAATGGACGTGATCAAAAAACACAAGCCAAGGATAAAATTTATGATGCTTACCGTCCCAACTCATATGTTCATCCCAGGATCACTGAATTCGCTTATTTATATCGTGCGAGGAGTGATAACCTACAGGGTTATATACTCTTAAACACCGAAATGCTTAATTCAGCTGATTTCGGATTTAATTCTTATATTTATTTTGCGGCTGCATAGTTGTTTTTACGTCGGATTTAATTCTTATATGTCTATTGAAAGCGCCTGATGACGATTATATCGGGTTTAAGTCTCGTATGTTTACTGTACCAGTGTTTCGCCCAATCACCTTTAAGTCCGGAATTTCGCAAATTTGTAGTGGCATAATAAGCTATGCTAGTGACGGAAAGAAGAGGGCGGGTCGGAATTACAAGCTGTGCGACAGATAGTTCTTATTCGTCAGTTTCTTAGGAGTTAAATGAATGTGTACATCTTCTAGAAATCCAATGGAGACAAGCTAATCCTACACAAGTAGAAGATTTCCTCAAATTTCTCTGAACCACCAGTGGGTGCACGGACTCACGGACACCCAAGAGAGAAAGCACAATTTCACACCAAAAAGAGCGATTTTAATAATTCAATTAAAATTCAAACTTTCCTTAAATTTACCTGAAAATCAAATGTATAGATTTTAAGCATAAAAATTCTATATGGATTTAAGAAAGAATTGAAAAAATCAATATTGATATTTTTATAAAAGAATATATAATTCTCTACCAAAAATTTTAGTGGGAAAGTACACTATTTGTGTTTTGAGTTCAAATCGCAATTTATCTCAATAATTTCTAATTGAATTATTCTTTAATACTTAAAGAACTATATATATCAGTTTTGAAATAATTCAATAGTATATTGAATTTTGATTGAATTATTAATATCACTCTTTTTGGTATGAAATTGTGCTTTCCTATCACGTTGTCCCGTGAGTCTGTGCACCCACTGGTGAACAATGGCGTAACATTCATTCTATTTGTTCCATTGACGCTTTGGCGCAAAATGAAGTTTTCTTGCCCTGCCTCGAAGAATGAAATCTTGGCAGCATGCAGCCTTAGGAAACCAAACTCTGTCTTACCCATCCTGAGAATTGGGACATAATTGACCTCGGTGACCCAAAACCCGTCTTACCTATCTTAAAGACAATTCCAGTCCCTACCTGCAATCAGTACCAGTCGCTTTCATTTCAGAGTTAAAAGGCGCATGTATTCACATCAAAGAAGCAACTTGCATATATCTACCCCTCTTGTGCACTACTTCGGATCAAACAATTCCATGCACCATATCCGTTGCCATTTCTGCAGTTCAGAGACGCATGCATGCATCTCGAAGTAGCAACTCGCATATTGTCAACCCCTCGTGCAATCTGTTAAAACTATCAATGCCATACACCGTACATCAACACCACCAGAAGAAAACAGATCGATTGTTGAAGCATGTTGAACAACTATGCTCCCCAGACTGAACATTATCATATAAATAGTCTTTCTCACCTCCAAGATGATATTCTCTTCACCCATAAGTTTCCTAATATTGTTATATTGCGAGATCACATGAAACATCTGGAGCTACATATGCCAAGCATAAATTACTAGATCATCATGTCAAATCTTTCTAAGAGTTCTACAGTACCCGTTAGAGGCTCCGTCTCATCTAAGAGAGTTCACATTCCCATGGTGCTGGAATTCGCTCCAGAACTAGTCTCAAGTGACTGGCTTGTCGTTTCCGCTTGACTTACTCGATACCTTCCCGTGTTATGCCACTTACTGCTACAAGTTTAAGTTTCTAAGAGTTATGCGCCGTGGTATTATCAATTTCTATTCTGAGCTTTATCATTTAACAAATATTTCTTCTTAGTATCAACGTCACTGCCAACACTACCCGTACCGAGCCCACCTATCTCCCCGCAAGCCGCATTAGCTCCTACCTCACAGACCCCGATTATTCTGTTCCTCATGCAACAATCAGTCAACATCATAAAACTGAGGCCAAGACTGTTGCCATTTCTGTGCCGAGAATGAAGAACAAGTTGCAAGACTTCGATGCGGCCTTTCACCACAACAATGATAATGGAAGTAGTAACTAGATGATGTCAATATGGTTCCTGGGTATATTCTATGCAAGACAAAACTGGATATCTCAATGTGTTGGAACTTGAGGAAGAGCGACAGCAAAGTTGGATACACGGAATATGTAGTGAAATATCTTGGATTGGTTCAGAGACAAGTGGGCTTGACGAGAGGCAGCAAAGATATCTTTTTGGTATTCTGATTGCATATAAATTTGTTCTTAAGTATGATAACATTTTACAACCCCCTAAAAAATAGTCGCAATGGCTCTAAAATGAGTGAGACTCTACAAGAGGTAGACATAGGGCCTTCTTGAGTATGCACGATGCTAAATAGTGATGGCTGCTTGACATGTGCTTGAAGAGGTTACTCAAAGAGATAGACAATCATTATCTTCAGATGAACAAAAGAAGCGTAATATTAATTAACAAGTCCCTTCGGTTTTTGAATGCTCTCTATGTCCTAGTCATTTCATCTTATATCTACTCTTACAAAATATTCCAAGTGGGTACCTGTATGGAATTTCGAAACAAAAGATGAAAATGATCGCTTTTATACAACAGTCGAGCAAGAAATGATCAGAATAATTGTCAGAAACCTGAACTTCTCTCCATAGCTTCAGACCACTACTGCATTAGAAATTAGATACATTTATCATTCCTGAAATTCACAAAATACTTGTAATACAGTACTCATCGGCGTCAAAATATAGTTTGAAAGAAAACAGGGGAAAGTATCTCGGCTCCTCCTTGTAAAATTCTGCGTCAAAAGCCAAGTCGCCGAAACAGCGGGTGTGACAAGTCCTGTATTTTGAATGGGGTCGAGTTATTTTGCCTGACGGTAAGGCTGCAGGTGCAGAACTTGATTTTTGTTCTACAGAATTGATGGGAAAATACAATTCGAGCGTGACCACAGCATCGGCCAATACCGGAGATCATGTGAAGCGAAGTAAATTTTCTAACAGTGTTTGGATACCAATAAACCGTGGTATCGGGGTCCTCATTGTGCAACCAAAGAACTGGGTCACAAATATCTTCATCACAAAAACTTACATTTCGCTCAAAATTCTATCCAGATCGGCGAAATTGCTGGTGACTCATGATTGAAAGAGCTATATACCACTCTTAGGAGATTTTTACTCCGGGACGCAAGCACTGCAGAAAAGAAGAACAGACCACGAGTAGTTTGGAGAGGTGCAACCTCATTTGAAACCTCAGATGAAGCCTCAGTACAAGGATCACAATGACTGAAAATCACTCACTTGACTTAAATGGTAGATAATTTCCGCATGAGGATCATTACGCGAAGAATAAATTCGCCAAAATCAATCAAGGTGCCGAAAGACGTTTAATTACCTACCGATCTACCTAGGTGCATACAGTATTCACGGACCGGACTTTGATATTGGTGGCTTATCGTCTGATAATTAAAGACGCAGTAAACACCAATGAGGCTACTTGTGGCAATCAGATCCGCCTATGTTTTGAAGTCTTTGTAGAACCCGAGGCGACTGAAAATCTAGAACAAGTTGTAGATTCGGGATTTCCATGATTCCAAGAAACCAAGAGGGAAGAGTTTACTCATCAGCTGGCCGCCTGTGCAAGCTTAGATCACTCTCCAAGTCCGCATTTGCCTACGCGTCTTCATTTTCTCATTTGGGATATTTGAGACTGAATATTATTGCTATTCATGGTTTAGTACTTTAAGTGAAATTTTCTAAGAAATAATAATAAAGAAATCAGCACATGGGAGAAGAGAAGATAGTCGGCCTCATCGAAGATGTTTATTTGAAACTACCTAGATACAGTGAAAGTTGAGGTAAAATAGAAGTAAAGCATATACTGCCAAGTTGCAACCTAGGCCGACGTTGAAAATGCCAACGAGGCCCAAGGCAAAATGTCAGATGATTCAGTGGCTATGTAAATGCTTTAAAGGGCGCATAATTCTCACAAAAGTCTTTTTACAAAATAACTGTCGCGAAAATATTATGAGTAGTCAGAAACTTACTGTTTTCAGTGTGAAAGTCAATATTTGTAGTGAATTTGCCGACGAAGCAGCTGAATTCCATTCGCGGCCACCAATAATATTGCCCTAGATAACATTTTTTATGTGCAGAATCTTACTTGCCCCATGGACAGAAAGAAAACTTTAGACAATTTGAATCTCTATTATTAGTATCACAATTTAAATAATTCAATTTGTAAAATGCTCATGGGAAGCAGTTAAGTGTTCTCTCATACTTGTCTAAAAGACAATCCCTGCATGAACTAAGTTTGGGAGTAACATTTACAAGCGACGGCGAATGCAAGCAAGCCTGTTATTAAAACGTCAGTTCCACTCACGGGTACCTGTCTAGGACCCGCAATTTCCGACTCACGGAAGCTACGTCTCTTACCCGACAACCAGGGACCATCGGGTACCGGCAATACATTTCTCCTTATCAGCAGATCTAACGACCCGTGCCTAGGTACTTATTACCATCTGACACTGACTTGGTAGCCCTGTAGGATCAATTTATCGACAGAAGTCGTATCGACATAATCTCCTGTAAGTCTTCCTTAAAAGAATCTAGAGCTTTCACTGCGTCTTTGCAAATCTCATCTCAAGTATTAAATAGCAATTTTGTATCTGTGCGTGGTCCAAATGTGTATGAGGGATGAAATGTTGCCGGGACAGCGAAACCTTATGTGAAGATCAACAATCTCTGTTGCGGATTTACTGGGCTCCAAAAGTAACAAGAATAAACCAACTTTAGAGAACCTATAAAAGTCGTGGCATCATTTTGTGGAGCTATGTAGTCAATAGAGCCACACGATCTCAGATAAGTCTTCGAGAGCTTCTCGAAGTCTAGGAACCGTTGCGTGGCAGAGCTTAACACGATGAGAAATAACTGATCTAACCCTAGAGTCGTGAAAGAAACAAATGATTGGTCGCAATACTAGTGACCAGAACATGAGCAGGGCAGGGGTAGCTAACAGCTGAAAAGATTCACAATTGCAATTATAACATCCATGGATGCTCGTAGCCTTACGGGTTTGAACGTCGCGTAAATTATGAACCATAATTGATGATCTAGAATCAAAACCCCAATTTTTGTTGCGATTATATGTTCAACTTGCGCGTAAAACAATTTCTGTGATCTGTATGTGACTTTCTTAAAAAAAAATCAATAAGAGGTCACCGAAAACTCCGGCGGACTCGGGTACAATTCTTGGAAATTTTTTTTTTTGATAGCTTTAATATCATTTAGAGTTTGTATCCTTGTCCGTCGATCTTGATGTTGAGGATGCTGATGAACAATGTTCATACTGAGGTTGCGAAAGGATGGAGAGCGTCTGAAATGAAAGTGTCATCTAGGGTATGCCCAACCCCTGCTTCGCCCCCAGAATCTGGTGTCATAACGGGATGAGCCTCTAAATACCGGGGTTCTGTTACTAGAATTATGTTACGGCGCTTAAAGAGTCCAACCCAGTCGTGCAGTGGGACAACAATTTCCGCCCGTTCAGAGGCTTCTAGTCGATTCCCAACTAATACACTACATCAACTTTAAAAACCCAGCGACTTTTTAACATTTTTAAAATACAAATTTTCAGAATGTTTGACATATGAAATTGTAGAGCTAGATCAGGGGAATGTTTTCGTATTTTCTGAATTTTCAAATTCCTATTAGACTTAAAGCTGTAATCGATTATATAAACTTGAATTCCTTTCGGTTAGCGTTATAAAGTCGCTGGGGTTTTAAAGTTGATATAGTGTACAGTTTGGCTTGTCGACTTGAAGCCTCGTCAATTCCATTACTTGATGTACGGTTACTCAATTGCAATTGTAATAGAATACTAAGATTTCTTATCCAACTCCTGATTCTCTGAATTAGTAGATTTATTTTTTCCTGGAAAAACATTAAGAGTACTAATAACAATGATCTAGATGTATATTGATAAGATTATTAATTCAATATGAATTTACTCCTTAACTTTGTTAAAGTCCTGGTCTGGAAGAACCTTTCCAGATACAGTATCACTGCTTTATGGGTGGAACCCTTAGGGGGCCCGGTTGCAAGGATAAAATTAGCACGACTCTTTAAGATTAGGTACCTACCCATGGTCACACTCGGTAAAGTACTATAGGACCTGCTTGCATACCTACCTACTTGATTTATTCGCCTACAATAAGTATCGACTTTCCTGGTACAGGTGGTGGATTATATAAACCTCGCCATTTCGCTGCAATTATATCTTTTCTAAACTCATATTCTCAAGCTCAATTACCTTCTACAATATCCATATCCACCTCAAGACCACCGACTTCCATCCAACATCACGTGAATATCCCGTGAAACACCATCATCATGGCTAGCCGAACTTCCAACACTGCCGTCCAAGGCTCAACTACTTTTGAGTGAAATACCCCTTCTCTTTTCTTTTCCGACTTTCATGAGTTATCTCCCTTCAAAAAATCCACAAAAATCAATCCTCGTCACTCATTCAGCTTCCCGTTGCGCTCATACTACATCTCTCGTATCGTACACTGAAGCATTGCTGTTCTTTCATGCATTCGTATCTCCCTATCCACCACTTCTTTCTCTACTTCTATCTCTTCCTGGGACCTTTTACTACTACTTAGTACACCCGTCCCTCGCCCTCTCTCCTCAATTACTTCTACCTTTCTGTTGTGTCTCTTCAGCTGATGCAAACTGCTCTGCTATCTCTCTCTTTTCCGCATAGAGTCCGTCATCATCTTGCATGACTCATGTATCCCGTGCCCCCTTGGCATACATACTTTACCTTTTCTCTTTCAACACCTTTCCGAATCAACAGCCACTTCACATCCACCTCCTATCCTGCATTTCCCTTTCAGACATCTGCCAACAATATGCACTAACATATCCACCTCCAACACAGTGTCAACTTCCCTTCCTCTTCTACTTCCACAACTCAAACATCCCCAGCCGAACAATCCTCCCTCACAACCAACCGCACCCAAACCTACAATAGTAACCCTCAACACTCTACCACCTACGCATCGTCTACCCTTATATACAACGGTGATGAGGCAGCAGTCGCCCAGAACTACATTGCCGCTGCTAGAAACAACATCCAAAACTTCGATGCGGCTTTCAACGGCAATGGTAGTGGGCAGTAGCTCTCGTTCTTGTACTTGCACTAGTACTAGCACTAGCACTTGCTATACCATTCGATCGGTATATATAGATGAATCAAGTGTACCACGTGCGAAGAAAGAGCTGGGATATCAGGGCTTGGAGCTTGGAGTTTGGAAACAGCAATGAAAACAGTTGGAAATCAAAACAGTTGGAAATGGAAACAGCAATGGAAAAGGAAACGGAAAGGATATGATTGGATTAAAATAAAAGAACGATATAACGATATAATGATAAAACATAGGAACAAAAGTGGCTTGATGGGTGCAGTTAATGGTTCGAAAATAGAATGGGCTGATAAAACAATCGTTCAATGAAAAACTTTTAATTGAACAACAGTCGCGACCCCGCACTGACCAATGACGTGATGTGACACTGATACGCGAGCCCCTTGCAGTTTTAGTCGCGGTGCTTAATTCTGCCGCTGCGAAACCCTAAGGCGGTATAACCTCAATTACGGGGTATTCCCCGCATCATGTTCCATTGTACAAACACAAGCCCCCACGGGTTCACCATGTTCAAGCACGAGAGACCACTTGTATTGTGCCGGAGAAGTCGCGGACAATTAGCAACGAAATGAGTATTTACCTATTTCTATGTTATCACGTGCGTGGGGAATAAAAAGTAAAGAAAGTAAAGAGAAACAAGAAACGAAGGTGAAAATCAAAGCTGATACCAGTAAATTAAGGTACTCTTAAAGATATAATATAATCTAACCTCATACATGACTAATACATAAAGCTACTTAAGAAAAAACATTCGTTAATCCATCGTTATATTTTCCTCATACATTGTTTCTCATATCCTTATCTTATCTTAACCCTAGTTCTACCCCAAGAAAAAAGCTTCAATCTTAACTCAAAACCAAAATCAAGATCTAAAAAAACCTAAAAGAAAGAAATGAAAGAATCGCATCTAATCCTCCCCTTTCCCCCACATTATCTCAATCTCTCCTCGCCAACAACACTAGCGCACACGCCTAAATTTCAAGAATATTTCCTCTTAACAAATGAAGAAGAAAAGCCTAAGCGTCAATCATCCTCAAAGTCCCCATTCTTGGCGCCAATTGTGGCGCCATTTCTCTAGAGCTCAACTTTGTCTTGGTGATGACCACATCGTCAACCAATACCATACCATCGCTCTCTCCTCTACACTCGGTATAGATCTGTACCTTGGCATCTGTCTTGCCAACCAAGTTCTTCTTGGGTTTGTAGACGAGTGTGTTCTTCTTCCATTTACCCTTCTTGAGAGGGGTGGGAACGGAACAATAACTATCTTTGTTAACACAGATTTGGAGCCAGCAGTCGCGGGACTTGGCAGCTTGACCCCAGGCTGTGACGGTGAGTGACTTGGTGGTGGGACAGATGGTGGTGGTTTGTTGGATGAGAGACAAGAAGTCTTGAGTCATGGTTATTTGGCTGGGGGGTGAATGTCAGTTTGGAGTTTCCTGGAAGGGATGAATGAGGACAGGAGAAGAGGAAGGGAATACTTACAGGTAAGAGTTACCAGTATGAGCAACTGCAGGGTTGTTGATAACAACGTTACTCTTGGCGTTGGCAATACCATCACTTCTAGGTGCCCATGGAGACAAAGATCCGGATTCAAATCCACCATTTGTGATTGTTGCCGCTGGGCAAGTGGAAGTGGTGCTAGAACTCGAACTTGAGGAAGTAAGGGTAGAGAATGAAGATGGAGCAGCAGAGGAAGTTGGTAGAATTGAGGAGGACTCGGCCGAGGAGGAGAATAATGTACTGCTGGGAAGTTCAGAGGTAGTGGACGAGCTTTGGATTTCAGTGGTGGAAGCAGCTGAAGTGGTGGGGAGCACGGTACTTGGGATGGTACTGGATTCCGAGCTAAGGACTAAAGATGATTCGGAGGTGATGGAAGCAGCTGAAGTGGTGGGGAGCACGGTACTTGGGATGGTGCTGGATTCTGAGGCGATTATCGAAGAAAATTCGGAAGTCGTGGATGCTAAAGAGCTACTTGGCTGAGCACTATTCGAAATAGTGCTAGATTCTGGAAGTACAGATGAGGTAATTGATGATTGCTCAGCTGTGCTTGAGGGAGCATTTGTAGCTTGGCTAGTGGATTGTTCAACATTGCTGGAAGGTAGTGCTGACGAGCTGATAATTTCACTGGATGAGATCGAAGATCCTACACTACTGGTTGGTACAACACTGGTGAGAGCTGGCTCAGATGTGGATATAGCACTGGATGAGACCGATGACTCAACAGTGGTTGGTATACCACTGGAAGATACTGAAGGTTGAATAGTACTTGATTCAGCAGAAGAGAAGCCAGAAGTGGTTGGGATAGCAGTGGAAAGAGCAGCTGAAGTCGTTGGCTCAATAGTACTTTGACTGGATAAAACTAGAGAAGAAACGGCAGATGAACTGGTTGGAATGTTCGAAGAAGTTTCAGAAATTGCAGAAGTACTAGCGACTCCACTGGATGAGACTACACCGCTGGAGGATGCTATAGTCGAAGACGCGACATTCGAAGATGATGCAATTGAGGATCCGACACTTGAAGTTGTTCCAGGAACTTCTGAGGATAGAGGAATGCTGGAGCTAGCTGTGGCTGATTGAGATGCCAAAGAAGAGGACTGTAAAATACTGGATAAAACTCCAGAAGAGCTTGCGCTAGCGGATGCCGAGGCCGAAGCAGATTGGCTTGGAACGATTGAGGAGGCAATACTAGATATTTCGGAAGGTAAAGAAGATCCTTGACTCGAGGCAATCGAAGAAGGAGCAGTCGAAGAAGTGATACTAGCTGATGCAGATCCAGGAATCGTGCTAGAAGCAACAGAAGAAATGTCACTTCCGGAAGATTGAACCGATGAGGAAGTAGCCGGCGATGAGCTAATAGTGGAAGATGATACAGCCGCAGGAATAAGTTGGTAAGCGACGATTGAAGGTGGGCCGTTACGTCGTGAAAATCTTTTGGCAGGTGAATTTCCTCCACAAGATTGCGATGGATCACCTGGACATGGGAAGTTGCAAATACCTTCTGTTTGACCAAGATTGAATCCATTTGAACAATAACAATGACCCGGTTCAATACCCATGTATGTGAATGGACCCCCATTATTAGCAGTGGAACAGAACAATGCACAGCTAGCGGGTGTGTCAGTAACAGTTGGAGAACTGTTGTTATTGACAGGCATGGGAGGTGGGGTCAATGGGAAACCATCGAAGGTAGAATCCAAGAAACAACCTATTTCCTCGTATACACCGGCAGCAGTAACAATGGATGGAACTTGAGTTGGTCCAGTAATTGATGTTCCGGTAGTGGTAGCACTGGAGCTAGCTGCGGGAGTTGATGATATGGCGGCACTCGAGCTAATTGCAGCAGAAGAAGCAGCACCGCTGGATACAGCAATGGTAGAAGTTGGTACAAACGAAATTATCGAGCTACTAGGTGCTAAAGTAGACTCGGAGCTCGAAACGGAAGTTACTGGAAGTGAACTCAAAGTTACTGTTGGTTGTGAGCTGAATTCAATAGAAGATGAAGATCCTGGGACCGTAGAGCTTATAGCGATGTAAGATGAGACCGAGGATGTACCACTTTCAAAGGCCGAGCTAGCAGCCGAAGATACGGATGAGGTTTCTTCGGATACAGTTGAGCTAGCAGATGCCGATACTGATTCGGATAAGGTTGCACTTGAGACAGTAGGGACGCTTGAGCTGGATTCTAGACCAGTTGATGAGCTAGCAATTCCAGAAACACTGCTAGATTCTACTGCAGAAGTAGAAACTACTGGAGGGGTAGAAGTTGCAGATGCTGAAGCAGATCCAGAACTGGCCGAGGTATCCGAAGTAGATGCCGATTCTGATAATGTTAGACTACTGGAAGCGGATGCCGAGTACGTGGCAGTCGAGGAAATAACTGAACTTCCGGAATTTGATGCTGACTCAGAAATAAGCGAAGATGATATCAACGGAATCGATGAACTGGAAATTCCAGATGACAGAGTAGATACACCGGTTTCGATAGCCGAGCTTTGAGAAAGAACGGCTGAGCTGGAAATTGTTTGCACGGAAGAGCTAGCAGCTACAGTTGAAGAAGACTCAATTGATATACTGGTACTACCTGGGAGCGAAGAAGTCTCGAAAACAGTGGAAGTCCCAACCGAGGATTCAGTTGGGACAAAGGTAGAAAGTGATGCAGTGCTACCTGGAAGCGAAGATGTCTCAAGAGCAGTCGAAGTTTCAACAGTCAATTCTGTCGATAATGCGGTTGAAGATTGGACTGGTAATTCAGAAGTAGCTACAATTGAGGAGATAACATTTGATGAAGTTGCTGCAATTCCAGAGGAGATTGAAGAGCTATCACTAACAGGATTTGACGTACTAGCAGCTGCCGAGGAGGATCCTGGGGCGGTGGAGAGAACATTACTGCTGGTGGGAACAGCTTCGGAGGATAAAGTACTGCTAACCGAAATATATACTGAGGATAATTGCGACTCCGAGATACTGAAAGTGGGGAGTACCGAAGAAGAAAGTAGGGATGAGAGGCTTGATACAACTGCGGAGCTCGGAAGAGTTGGAAGCACACTTCCTTGGGACGAGACAGGAACAATTGATGAAGAGGGGCTTCCTGAACTACTGGGAATCGACGTAGATTCTGGAATATTACTACCGGAAGAAGTTGTCTCTGAGGCACTGCTAGTTGCAGCAGGATTCGAAGTCGATTGGCTGGAGACAATTGGTGCGGTAGTGGTTATCGATTCAGGTCCCGCACTGGATGTAGGGAAAGCTGAAGATGTTGCAACAGTGGACGATGGCGCAGCCGAGCAAAAACTTGGATAAACAGTGACTGTCACTGGAGGTGGACAATTTGCCTGACGGGGTGCAAGATCCAAGTGTTGAGGATTACGACCCTCTAATTTGATGCTTGCACTTGCAACACCAAATGTGGCAGCAAAGAATAACGAATCTCTTAACGAATGTGGTGCCATGATTGCTTTGAGCAGAACGATTGATGCTTAAAGAATGGCGTTGACGAACCTCCAGAAGGATGGAGGGTTTAAATGCAAAAAGAAGGACAATTAATGATGAGAATGAAGGAGAAGTAAGAAATGGAGCAAGGCAGAGAGTATTGAAATACTAAATAATTGAAAGCTCAGGCAAATTCTTGAAGCCACCAAGGGGCAAGGGAAAGCCCGTATGTTTCTTAAAAAAGATACAGGCAAATGAAGTTGATTCAGACCAGCTTGGAGAAAGATGGCCGAGGAATATCGATCATGGAAAGAAAGCGCGAATAAGAATAGATTGATGCAGGCTCTCGAGGAAGGAACACAGGAGTTGATAGTAAGACATACAGAATAGTCGATAAGCAGGTCTCAAAAGAACGATTTGAGTAGAGGATTTGTTTTTTCTCCATCGCGCCACCAATAAAAGAATACTTGGAACATCCGAATATATGTAAGGGCGTAAAGATAAGATTTCTTTGCCTGAAAGATAGCTTTCAGCCCATGATTTCCGTGAGATGTATCAAGAAAATATTCTACGATCAAAATATGTATGCAGAGTGTGGCATCCAATGTAATAATAGACATTCTCGACATGAACGGAGGAAGGAGACACGCATCGAGTATTCCCCCAAGTATCAGTGGAAATGATATTTCAAATGCTTTGTTTTCCGCCAGGACTGGTCAAAATGACCTACAAGTCTTCTTTTGAGACATTTGAATGTTTGAATCTAGGTATCTTGAATAACAAATCAGGCAAACAGTTTTTCAAATAACATAAGTGAAGGAACGACCAACTCAATTCTTAATATCATCTGACCAAAGATCTCGTGACCACGTGTTTTCAGGGATACTTCTTTTAAAATTTAACAGTTAACATCGCGTTTTTTTTTTCCTTGAACTCGCGAGCGCGACGACAATCCCACCTCACCCGCATGAAATAATTTCTTTTGTTGTTATCAAGGTTTCAGAGTGATAAGAGAGGCAACCAACGTGTTGGTTTCTTTTCCCACTCACTAGGTTGGTATCGCAATTCGCCATATTCTACTTGTCTTCATTTATTGAATTCAATTGAATTTGGCTCAAAAGTTTTATCGTGCGCATCGTCTTCAAGCTTCTCATCACTCGTTTGTCCAATTCATTCCAAACATTTGAACGATCGTGAATCCTCAGAATATCCACGAATCGTCCTTCTGTTGCCCTTGGTTCTTCTTCTTAAGGCCTTAACTCATGTACAAATCATCCTTCGACTTCGAAGTTGTTCTTTGATCCATCACATTTTGTTGTCGATCTTTCGAGTTGTCAAATCAGGTGGAAATTAAAGATCTGTATCAAGCCACAATGGCTGACCTTGATATTAAATTTCTGTTACAACAGAAGAAGGCTGAAAAACTCAAAGCTTTGGAAGCAGCTAGACCTATGGTACCGCCGGCTCGGGACGCAAAATATGTCACAGCCAAGGAAGGACATGATGGCGAATTTGAATCAAACATCAATTCTGATTCAGACAATGAGACATCCGCCAATACAGCCTCGCCTCAAAAGCCATTTGGAACTGATCTTGAACCCCAAAGTGGACCTTCGACCAATCCAAAACCTCTGAGGAAGGACGCGCTTTCACAATCATCTACTATACTCATATCAATCGAACCCGACAAGCGACGATTCTTTCGCCCTCTAGCAGATGCCATCACATCATCTAGTGGCGACCAGCTCGGTAAGATACTTTTCCGTTTATGTGTCGAGTATCCCGATGCTAGGGCAGTGGTTGAATCTTTGCTTGCCGATACTATCGATGAAGGCATCATTGAAAATCCACATCCATTACTTCGAAGAAGCTCAAACTCGAGAATCGAGCAATCCTCAAAAAAGATTTCACCTATCAAGAAAGCCTTGAAAAATCCGTTTTTTCCAGTTGCATTAAACAATAGCAATCAAAGAGAGGAACAAGGGCCAGTTATCGCGAAATCTGCCAAAGATGACCCAGAATCACCACCAGCCGTACTTGCTGTTGTGAATCCGGCCAAAAAACTGCCGTCAGTCCCTCAAACCTCTATCTCTCTACTTAGCTCAGCGGTCAGCGAAAAGCGCAAACGGGATGAACCTGCAGATGCTTCGATTGTCTCTCAGTCGCAGAAGAAATCAAAATCACATGTAAGTGGCTCTTCGGATGAAAGGCAGGCAGGCTTATATACTAACAGAGACAGTTTGTCATTCCTAAGCATTCAAAGAGGGATATCCCATTGAGCGAAAATAAAGATACAAATCCACGATCCAAGTCGCTGGCTTCAAACTTGCCAAGCTCCTCCGAACGCTCCAAAACCAAGCCTATCGAAGCTTTGCAATCTATTTCTGATTCCGGTAACAAAATGGGTGTTGGAGAAGAGCCACCTGATAAATGCAGTTGTTCGATTTGTCATCAAGAATTTAGTAAGAAAAATCTGGAGCGACATATGAGAGGTATACATAAAACAGAAGGGGAGCCATTCGGATGTTCGCTTTGCACCAAAAAGTATGCTTTTCGGGACTATCTTTATCGCCATCTGACCTCTTTTCATACAAATGGTTTGAAGTGTATTGCTTGTGGACTTTCATATCCAGATGATAACATTTTGAATACGCACATGAGGTCTGTACATGGTGTACAGGCAGTGGAAGATAAAAAGATCAACGAATCTCCAACAGCACCAAACTCTGTTAAGAAGCAGGTCCGTTTCCAAGAGGATTCGATGAAATTGCGGAAGTCCTAAATTACCAGACGATTTCGGACAACCATTTAATTCGAATCGACTATACAAGATCATTTTCATTTGGACTCTACGTTTAAATCCACTATACACCAATAATATGACTGATTCTGGTAGCCCCGGTGGTTTGAACGTCGCATATATTCGTGTACATGAATCTGTTTTATGGGTTTCAGTAAGGTCGATCAAAATACGGAAGCGCAGTACGCGATCCCAGAAATAGCCGCTTACATCCAAGGTGACTCTCACTAAGTCAAACGATAGTCTGTCTATCTAGGTATCCTTTCCTCTTTCGATCACGCTCCGTCATCATGATCAACCACTACTGGGCACTTAATTCATTGTACGCGTTTCCGATAATCCATCATATTTGATGTGTCAGACTGCAGATAGAGGCTCGAGATGGGCAGGGTTCGTGATGTACGGCTGCGGCTACGGTCATCGAAAACTGCCAATAACAAGCACGATCGTGTAATAATTGGGATTTCATGTGGTGAGCATATGTGGTGTGTGTCGCAACCGCGCTTGATAGTGTAACCGCTGCTTATCACCGGAATGGTGGTGACTAATAAATGACAAGCCAACGGTACACAATATTGAGGGTGTGCATACAAATTTCATTACTTGTGAATGGTGATTTGTGAATAATTGTTTGTTTTCTTTTCTGACATTGACTGATTGGATTAGTATAGGGAGCTTACTGGTGTCGCTGGTTTGAATTCCATTCGGTAACGGTTCTTTCGATTGAAAATCGGCGGTAAAGATTTCTCTTTTTGTCATTGCGGTCGCCAAATCTCACTTTAGTTGCTTCTCACACCTGATGAAGGTATGTGTGTGTGAATTGCTGTTCTTAGATCAATGAAATAAGGCAACGGAATATGAGAATCTCATATAAACAGGTATTTGCCATTGCATTTCTTACCTTTTCTAGCTGTTCTTCTGTACAAGTTTCCTATTTCCTGTTTAAATCTAAGCATTTCTATCTCCAGTTATCTTTCTTCTTCTTTGGCCTTCTCACCAAGTTCTTCTGTATTGACGCTCTTCTTCACCCCATAGCCCTTCCAATTCTTCACTGTCTGCCTCTACTTTCACTTTTTCTTTTTTCCTTACCCACCCACACATTCTCTTCCCGCCATATTTGCTGTCTTGTACTTGCAGTATACAAGGACAGATCAGTTTTCGATCATCATCCTAATACCCGCACTTCGTCCTCACATTCCTACCCAGGAAAAATATATCAAACCCCCCCAAACATGCCAGGAAGCATTTACTCGGAAAATTGTTCCGCAATAGCTGTGGATGGTAGCGTAGCTGAGTATGTACTTTCTCTTTCCCTTCTTTCCTATTACTTCCTGTTATGCAATCCATCGCCTATTTTCCTGGCAATGGGGCTAATCCAAAATGCTAGATTGAATAAAGAACAAAACCATGCATCGAAAAGCGCACAAAAGGAAGAGGCGCTGAGAGAACAGAGGTTGAGAAACTTTCGTTCTGAAAGTGGGAGAGAGGCACCCTGGAGTTCGGTTAATAGGAGAGGGTTTGCTGGTGGTGAGGGGGGTGGGGAGGGAACGAAGACTCAATAATTTAGCTGGCGTGAGGATGGGAGATACGGGTTTTCTTTTGAATGGAAAAAGTTTTTTGTTTTGTTTTGTTTTGCTTTCTGATAGTAGGGGTGAGACGGTGTATAGCTGAAAAGACAGGAAGATGGTAGGCTTTGGTATCGCTTCATTTTGCTTCGCTTCGGTTCTAATAATCTTGTTTCCTATTTTACATGTTCTGTATTCGCATTTTTTTATGATTTCAATGCGAGCTTATCTCAAATCTTGTTTCCTTTGCTTTAATGCGCTCGATGCGCCAGTCGATGGAATAGCAGTTTTGGGAGAGAACCAAGTGAGATATCCGAATCGCTTCTGGCATGAAAGGCCACTCACGTGATATACGGAGAAATTTGAGCACTTGATAAAACACTAGATTTCACGGTAAGCTTGAACTTTGGGGGGTTGAATAATTTTGAATATCAAGTTGGATATGAAAAACTGTTCATCGTCGAGTTCAACTTGAGAGATTGAAGAGTGGTGTGAGGTTCAGATATATTTGTTTGGTGAATGATCACTTGGGAATCGGGATTTCTTTCCGTCACATGCCGCTATTTTTTCAAATCGTTGTAATAATCATAGATTTAGCTGCAACCTTGTGCTCTATACTCACATAAGATCACCATGATGAGCATGGGTAAACAATAAACTTTTCATTAAATTGAAGTGACGTGATTACATGCCAACGCCGTGATCAGATACTGATCAAACATGAAACATCAAACATTACACGGGAAAAACCATAATACTCCCAGAGTATAGCCCCCATTATTCATAAGTCAAGACATCCAGTCTAGAAAGTAGCAGCTGCAAGATTGTTTGCGAAGGCAGATGGAATGAATGGAACATTCGCAGCGCCGAAATCAGTCGTCTCAAGAGCAGTTTGAGCAGCAGCAGGTAAAGATTCCCAGGCAATCATAGGTTGCTGTCCGCCAACAGTACTAGTAAGACCCATTGAATGATCGATAGGCCAGATACTTTCGTACTTGATGAGAGGGCTGGTACCGGAAAGGGAATAACCATCGGTGGAACAATCCCAACCTCCATGGGCGGAAGGACAGACGGCTACGATGTTGCTGGCGGTTGTGGCGGTTGAGCTGGAAAGCCAGACGATTACACCTTCCCAGTCGTGACGGTGACCAATACCGGTTGAGGGCTCATCTTTTGGCATGTACCTGGGATTGTGTTAGTTTAGATCTTTAAGGGCGAGCTAGAGAGAACTTACCAGGAGTACATGATACCGTAGTATGATCCGCTTTGTGCTCCTCGGACGTATACTTGACCGGTACTGCTGCTGCATTCACCATTGCTACTGCCAGTTGGTGACAAACCACCACTAAGAAATGTTAGAGACTTGATAGAAATGGTGTGGAAGAGAAAACTGTAAGAACATACCCTGTGTTACCCGATGCATCGACTGCAGGGAATGGTACGCAGCCATTGACTATCTTGAGATATGGTTGATATGTCTCATAAACTGTTCCTACTATCCCGCTGGGAACGGTTTCGGGAAATCCTACAACGGCATCGGAATTGATGACGGCCCGAGATTCAAGCTGTGACGGTGTAGGGATGGCAACGACTGTAGATGCCAAAACCGAAAGGGAAAGTTGTAGTGATCTTGAGAAGGCAACCATGATGAAATATGTCTGGATATCCCTTGCAATTGAGAAGAAAGAGAATGATCGACGAATGTAAGAAGGACTTCTGCAGCCAACAGGAAAGAATATGGAGGATTCTTATAACTACATTTCTAATCTTCGGTATCTATACCCTGGATTGATTTGGGGATACCGATTAAGAACACAGACCCAGCCGCCCACTATTCAAAGTTCATGACTATCCGGATTCCATATTCATGATAAATACCCGCTTGGATATATCCCCAATCGGAAAAACTTCTCTGGGCACGTTTCCATTGGTCGTTGAAGATTGGCATTTATCATTTGTGATATGTATTCCCATGTATTACCTACTACATTCTACAAGAGGAAACACAAGACCGAGAAAAAACGTGGTGATTCTTCACGTTGTAGAGATACCGTGTGGATGATACATCTCGGAGACAATAGATTGCAAGCGGGTCTCAAATCGGCTTGAATGTAATAGGAAGGAGAAGCGAAGGTGATATATCGGCTTGGATATTCATCACCCTTGGTTTTGCCGGATGTGGACACACTCCCCGTGGACGGTTGAAGGGTGGGGTATGGGGGTTTTCTTCCGTGCATGGAAATTGAAAGCTTATGTGTGCTTTAGCCAGTTGGCGGATTGTATCTTTCCACGGTGTAGTGAGTACCGATGGGGTTGCTGATCGCTTACCCCTTACAGTAGGTCACACCCTCATCATCAAATGAAACGATTGGGGAATGAAGCCATTTTCTTTGAAAGTTAATCGTGTACGGATATGCAAGAAGCGGTATACCGGCTGTTTATGGAACAAAGTGATAAATTAAAGCTTGACATCGATTACAAATTGTCGAAGCTCATTAAAGGGTAATGTCTGGGTAATATTTGGTGTCGGTGCTTTGTAGATATGTTTGAACGCGTGCATGTGAAGTGACTTGCAAAAGTGGATTGAGAGGGGTATGACCAATCGGGCACGGATCAGGGTTATAGTATCACGTGATGACACCCTCCCCCCTCCATTTCACTCCATTCAAGTTTGTCACAACCATCACATATATTTGTTTAGGCTGAAATCCATCGTGGACTCATCACCGCTTGCTTTAATAGAATTCTTATTGCAGCATTACTAAAGTATTAACCCTTCAGATCATAGAATTCCATCTGATTGATATGGCTACGGAGCCTGTTCTGAACTATACGACAAAACACTCTTTTGCGATTCGGCATTCTTGAATGTTAGATCAATCTTGAAAGATTCAAATACTTTGGAAAATCTGTATAAGAGAGATATAGAGCTTTTATTTAGAACTTACAAACACCAAGATGTTGATATTTAGAGAACTTCTCTTGTCTATAGCTAGATAGCCATAGCTACTGCCCTGAGTAGCCACAGGTATCTTTATTCCGTCTTAGATCATACGATACTTTGGTGATTGCTACTCATTCACATTGACGTGTTTTGCTTGCTGAAGATGGCTTAGCAGTGCAAAACTAAGGGTTGCTCAAGGTAAGAGCTAATTGCATCGTCACTGACAGACACACCATGATCAGGACATTCAATAGTCTGGGCTGCAGTGTGATTTGAGATATCTCAATAACCCCAAGCTTCTGAATGTTTTAGATCATATTTGTCACTACAAATACTTTCGAGGTCCAGCAATCGCGTTGAAATCCCTTCGCTCCGGCATTTCAAAGTACTAGCAATGAGTCTTTGATTGTTCTAGCGAGGGTGCCGTGCTGAGATTCTCTTACTCTGGTTTCTGAAATGAGTGGTCTAATTTCGCCTAGCGGTGATAATTCCGCAGATATCAATGGATTTTGTCTGGCAATTCCGAGAGTCCAATATACAGACTCCAGCACTTCTTTTCTCCTTAAATCTCAATTCAGTGGTGTGAATTTCTCTGAAGGTTGGCTTCCTACGCCCCTAACGGGCTTCATCAGATTTAACCAGCAAAGACCTCGCAATAAGCTGGGGAAACTCGACAACGGTCGTTAGAGGATATCTCACGAACCCTTTTCGCTGTATTGAAGAACATCCGAAAGCGGGGCTTGATCAACCACATCAAAACTTAACTTCGGAGTTGGAGAATCCAGCTATGATTGAGTGTTCAGAATGAGACATTGTGTTGATCAAGTCAGAGAGCTATTGGCTCAGTAGCGACGATATGTTTCGCAACTATTTCGATGGTCGGCATCGTTTTTGCTTCTGTTTGAAAATTTCAGTGTGAAGGAAACATTTTGCGGAAACATTTCGATTCACGGTTGTCTCCCAGGTTCTCAGAGCAGCAAAATTAGGCTTACAGTGATGGAACCACCTAGGCCAATATCAAAGGGTAAATGACATGCCATGCTTTAGCAGACAATAGAACATGCTGAGGTGAAGAAAAACCGTGGTCAAGGCATCACCTTTCTTTTTCGATTGATTTCAGGTGTAAATTTAAAGGCACATCGATTTAAGTCTCTGACTTCGAGTTCTCGTGGATGTTTCCAATGTAGTCTTGATTTTGGAAAGGAGGAGGCTAGACTATCATCTCTTTTAGTATATCTTCAACGCCTCAACGTGCTTAGTAGCTAAACACACATTCTACGACTAGCCGTCGAAAATCATCTCTTTTTGAGGTTTGCCATCCCCTGGTTTACCCTGCTATAAAATTACTTCGAAGAGTCCGTTACATAGGCGCGACTCTATTGAACTCAGGGTCTGGTTTTGGTGAGCATCTGTGAAGATTATGCCTTGATGGTATCTTTCAGACTCACTTTGTGG